TGACCATCGACTCTTGTTGAATTTGAATAATACCTTGGCAAGTTGCAAGCGCCTTGGCAAATTACAAGTTCAAAGCCTTTGCAAGAATGTCGATTTCAACATCTAAGTAGGATTTAATTACTCTTAATATTGTAACTCTTAAGTATGTATATTTATATATAAACTTTAAGATAAGGATATTGCATTTTTTGTTGTTGTTGTTGTAACAAGTAAATTATATTAACGCTCCGTATTTTATAATTGCACCTGCATTACAACGTTTAAATACTAATAAATTACTCTTGCCGTTTAAACAAAGGTTAATTTATCGTTACATTCGCATGTTTCGTTTGTCCCGGAGTCATAGAGCTGCTTTTAACTCCGAGACTTTTAACTGCGCGAATTGCAGAAAAACATTCGTTTAATCTCACACGGGAAAATTAAAATCGTGTTTCTGTGCCCTTGTCATCGTACAAGGCAATAAATATAAACAACTAAGTATGAATATAAACCGGGCTGGGCATTAAATCGACGGAATTCCATTGTTGACGAAAAATAGTTAATTACACGTAATTCAGCCAAGTTTATTAAATTAATTTTATTGTTTTTTTCCATTCAATGGGCTCAATCAATTTTTAATGACATTTGATAAAGCATTTGCGGTTCGATTAAATATTTAGTCGGCTCGACTATAAAACGATAAATAGCCATTAATTCTAATTCATTACATTATTTAGTAGAAGACTTGTGGATGATTTTAGTTGAGTTTAGTAAATTTCAATCGCATGAACGAATACGAATTTAACGAAACAGCCTTTACAATATACAATTAAAGTTTCTATTATTACAGCAACAACTTGCAACCTATGATTGTATTACTATTACTAATCTATGATATTGAACATATCATTTCAACAATTGTAACATTTGTTAATTTAAATTTATAAATAGATTTGTAGATATTGAAATATGTATTTGATATATTGATCCCATTAGATATAATAATAATATGAGCGACGTAAAATTCAATTGAGTGACGAGTTTTATAACAATTTTTATCCACATTAAGTTAATAAACATTAGCAACATTTGTTCCAAACAAATTAATTATGAAATTATAAATCAGTCTTATATATAATATTCATAGATTATCCAATATAATCTTAATCAGATGAATGAATAAACGTTATTTGATTATCTTGCTAATGAAAAAAAAAAAGCGGCATTAGCAATTTATCATAATTTAGTATGAATGTATAATTAAAATTAATTTAATACACTTAAATAAGTAATTCTTATTCAAATATTCAGTTTTAATATTTGCTTTAAATGAATTTAGTAGGTATAACGACACATTTGTTCTTTTAAATATTACCAAATTACTTTATTTACATAGTAGAATAACTTATATCATTACGTTATACACAAATGTATAAAAATTGTGTGATTAATAATAAAAATTGATAGTTCGCGAAGCTCTCGATTATAAATACGTAATTAAAAGTTAGAATAAACCTTATATAAAAAAACTTATAATTGATATAACTAACATTTTCTTTAATATAATATATAATGAAATAATAATTTTGTGTCATTTGTAATTATATTTTTTTTAATTGGTAGAAATAAAAAATCAATGAAATCGTTATAATTTATGTTATATAATATTTTCATTATCTGTTAGCTATCACGCCTCCTCCTCTTTTAACTCTTGTAATATATCGTTTATGTAGATTATACAATTGAGAAAAATAATCATTTGCTATGTATATTCCTTTGAATTGTATTTTTATTGTCAATAAGTTCATGTGTTAGTATCATTTTCATTGTTAAAATTAATTATATTACAGACAATATTTATAATTCTATAGTTTATAAGCCACTGGATTTATCCTCTAAATTATGAATAGCGATAAATGTTTAAACATTTTTTCTTCTTAATTTTAACAATATCATAATGTATTCAATAAACCCTAATTTGTTTGGATATCATAGAATGTGTTATCTTCCATTATTTTATAAATATACCAACGATACCCTTTAAAATTATATAAAATTTATTTATCTTATTGTTTAAGAACATCGCTTGTATAATGCTAATTAAGTATCACGAAATGCACGGCATTTTATTTCGATCTCATTATTCGTAAAATAAATTTACATTCAGTATTAAGACGAACTTTCGATATTTTTCATTACTAATAAATAATATATAATGCATTTAAGACCTTATTCCCGAACTTGTTCGTTCATTTCCCATTTTAGGCGCATAACGAACGCACCAACGTTCAACGTTCAACGTGTTTTTGTACCTCCCCCTCCCGCCGCCACCCCCCCCCCCCGCCCCTCCCGTACCCATCAATACCAACAGCCCCGTCGAACCGCTAAATCGTACAATGAGATTCCATTGATGCGTGCAATACGATGGGTTTTCGTTTTAAAAACTATGATTGCAGAATAAAGCAAACGGAGGATGAGTTCCCTGACTATTGCGATGGACCATCGATTCTGCCCATATGCTGTTTTATTAATAAATTGGAAGGAGTCCAGTAGTGGATAAGCAATTTAACGATGTGCGCAGGTTCAAGAAATGTACGGGTAGAGTGAGCTGGCACCATATGATTGGAAAACAAAATGGCATCGGTCCAAATCGTCGTAAAAAGCTTATATGAGCTGCCTAGCAGCGTTTATGAAAACCTGCCACATTTATTTGCGCCCTCGCGTGCCCAATCGGTATACTCGTGTGGTACTCAATACGTGCATACTCCAAGTAGACACTCCTCATTATTGCCTCGTCGTAGGGCCAGAAGCTCCGCATTTCCAATCCTGAAGGTCGAGCGCTATTAACCAGATGTATCGTCCATTCTTAATCTCGAATAATATTGCCGCTCCCATTGTCTCTCGTATCTATCATAGTTTATCAATACATGCATATCGAACTATGAAGAGCTGGAGTAGAATAATCTAGAATATTACATGCATCGTGTGTCGAGTCGAGGCCGAACTTTAAAGGTCGTTCAAGTTTTAAAAGACTTTTCATTCTTGTGCAAAGTCTTGTGTAAAAAATCGTTTCATCCTTCCTGATTGTACAGAGTAACCGATCGTTGCTATCTACATCGTAGATAAGAATAATTCATACGAAATGATCGGTTACAGCGATTAACACGATACATTTGCGTTCATACTCTTTACCGTTTGAAATTGGTTTTCATACTCTTAATTCGTTAGATTTTCACGTACAAACGTATATCGATTGACTGCAATATGAAAGCATACTAATGATGAAGAATATTTATTGTTGATATTTTTCAATTAGAATTAGAGTGCAAGATTAATATTAGATTAGGCAAAATTAATAATGGCATTAAGTCTTGAACGTTACATTCTAAACTATCGTGAATACTTAAATAAGAGGTAAAATTTTTTTCGTTAGTTATTTTTAGACTGCTTAAGATAAAGAAACTTGTCGTTTAAAAAAAATAATCAAAAAAATTAATATCACATAATCGGACGATTACGTTTTTGTACTATTAAAAAAAAAAATATATGCTTAATCATATATATATATATATATATATTATAAAACAAATACCCAAATTACAAATTAGCTTTTCAAAATACTTCGAATGGTGCGCAATGACCGTTGCGACCTATTGCGCAGACGCAAAGACTACTCGCGATCAAACGAGCAAAAGTTGGTATGCATCACTAGTCACGTTTTATACTGTGTTAAAGTAGTATCAAGTACGCGCAGCATCGATTTATACTTTACGATTTATTGTTAAAGCGTACATATCGTTTTCCTTCCTCGCCGTTCAATTTTCGATCTGTAGAGTACGGTGTTTAAAAGTACCTACGATACTTCTGGTCGCTTAATTAAGATCCGAGATCTATTACGTTGGCTTAGTGAAGAATTGACGACCAAAGTTACTGAATTAACCAACGACTCGATATTAATTAAAGCTTACAGGGAAAATTTGCAACCTACTTGTTTTATTATTCATAAGCCGCGTGAACGCACTTTCGGCTCTGGGTTAAATTAACGAACGATCGCGTATTTTTAAAGTAAAGCCAATTGGCATCTCATTACTGTGATTTAGTGAGAGCAAAAATTTTGGATTTGGTGCCTCGTGTATTGGCACTTAACAACAATGTTCACAAGAAGTAGACAAAGTCAGAATTTCACCGGCGGTAAGAACTATCTTGCTTATCGATTCCCTTCCCTTTATACGTTCTTTCTCGTAGATATTCTCGTTTGGCGCTCGTCATCTCGTGTTGAAATGCTTCCTTATTATTTTTATGTTAGCTCAACTTAAGTTAAAATTAAGTTAGTCGACTTACCAACAGAAAAATCAATACCGGTCTTAGAAAATGGCGTCGCGTCTCGTCGCGCTAATGTCCACTAAGCTAAGCAATCCACCACGTATCTCGACATTTTGTAATTCATTGTATTATTTCATTTACTTGTGCCCAGTCGATATTATGAAATTTCTTATATTTAAGCCAAACATCTTTCGATGCATTTGCATTTTTTAATTTTATGTTAAGTACTTAACGTTTCTGGCCTAATTTTGCAACGACTTCCAATTGTGCAGTATTGTGTACTAATTGAAATATTTATTTAACAAAAATTTAATAATGCTCGCACGTTCATTTTTATAAGTAAATAAAACGTTTAAATAAAGCAATTAGTTGCTTATGAGCCAACAAAAAATTGAATATTTGTGTATAAAGACAAGAATTTAAGAAACATTTTTAAACAAAGAAAATCATAAAATAAGATCGTTTTCTTTATAATGAAAATGTTTGTACTTTCTCTTATATTTCTTATGAAGGAAACAAAGGTTAAATTAATTGTTTTTCCATCGTCGATTGCTCAAAATTCTTCATTTATATGTAAAATCGCCCAATTTGATACGTTGAATGAAAAATTTTCATAAATTTTATCGATATCCAATATTTTCTATTTACTTATATGCTCAATCGAAATAACGGATATATCTTATCAAAATTAATTCCACTTACCATTCGCATTTCAGTAATTAAAGATTTCATTATTCCCTATGCTAGTTCAAATACTTTCAATTTTATAGGTACTTCAACACGCAGTCAGTCTTCTACTTGTCCTGCAACCCAGCAGCAGCCGACGTATCAAGGACAGGCATCTGTAAGTTTGTATGCTTTATTATATTTTTAATTTACTTTACCCTATTAGAGCTTTAAATTGCTTCATATCTTATATGTTATCAATACTATCGATTCCTTACTTTTATATAAATTTTATTGATAATTAATTTCTCATAAAAATCGGCGACGATACTTACTCAAATTAGATAAAAACTAATAAATCTAATACATGGTGGCTATTTTGTCTATGGGGTTATAAAACATTGAAATTACATAAGATATAAAAGTGTTGCTTAAAAAAAACATTGTACTTCTTATGAAGGGTATTGTTAGCGTTTAAGCGCTTATAAGTTAACTGAAAATTTTTAGTATTTCATGAAAAGTATATTTATTAATTTTCAAATATTAACTGTAAGGACGTTTGTATCGCTGGTATAATTTTAGTATAATTACTGATTTATTAGCAATCATTCTATTCGCCATCATCGCTTGGTAATTGTAAATGCATTCATCGGCATCCACTCTGACAGTTGATTGTGTTGATTCACAGCGCATACATTTAATTAGGCATGGGTATTAATGTATCAATTTCAACATTACTACGTTTACCGTTCTATAGTTATACATGCGAGAAAAACAACAAAAATATACGTTTATATATTTGACTGTTTATATACATTATACGAATGACCCATATAACACTTTCGTTATGACGAGGTATAGCTATTATCGAATCACAAGATGAGACACAAATTGAAAATGTTAATATCGTTTGAACAATATTTTATAATTCATTCGTCTCCGACAATAATTTTAGATTACCTACTAACGAACGACATAATCTGGTAGTAATTTATGTATAATACAGCACAGTATTGATAAATTCATTTGATATGTCCTTAAGCTTAGGCCGTTGTGCCTTTCTCTGAGATAAGCGATTAAAAATTATGAACAAGAACTTGTTCATCTTCTTTTAAATACCCGTGAAATATTGCAGAACTATTCATCTTATAAGTAGATTGTTTTACTATTATTTGTATACGATTACAAGATTAGTTAGATGTAAGGATTAAACCAAATAAAATAATATTTTTGTCATTGGATTAACGAAATAAATGTCATATGTGTATTTACGAATTTTAATATTTTCTAGATATTTTATAAGAAAAATCTGTAAATCTCTTTCTTTCGTGTTGATTTTCAATTCTGTTAAAAAGTAATATTAATAAGTAACAAGATTGTAGACAGACAGTTATAAATTCGATTGATTTACAATTGATATACAATTGATGTCTTCTTTCATTTTTGTTAGTAAAGAAATTAGATATAATGATATTAAATTATAAGGTAAAATTTTTTACTTTCTTTACAATTTATTAACAATAATTTATTAGCACCTTTTATTTCGTAATTTTTTTGTGAAAAACATAGTACATTGAATGCACACTTTTCAGGGCGTATCTTAGAAAAAATTGTAATTGCCACCATGTAACAATAAGATTTAATGGTTTATTTTATGGTTTTGTTATACATGCCGAAGTATCATTTTTTATAAATAAAATATTTTACCGATACCGTACGGTACTGTTCATATAATTTTGCAGTAAATGACAAATTGATCGGAAACTTTTGCAAGCTAGCATATTCTTATAAACACACATATATTTTTATGCAATAAATGCATTTGTTAATTGGAAATTTTATGAATTTGTATTGATATACAAGAAACGAAAAGAATTTCAAAGTCCAGCAATATTGCTTAAGCGCACAAGTTTGCCTAAGCCTAAATTTCAGTTCATAAATTCTGATTATAATACAGATTATAATAAATTCTGATAAAAATGCATTGCTCCAATTTGCAATTGTATGAGAAAGCGTGACAAGGGATCGTTCTTGCATGTACTAATTAGTGATCCCCATCTCCCACTCCTGCAATGCAGGCTCTATTAGCTATACAACAATACCGAGGAGGTGTGTTCCGCCAAGGGCAAGTTCGCCAGTTGCCCACATAGCAAAAAACCATAAGCCATTCCCTGGGTAATTCGTGCTGAACTCGTACCTAACCAAGTTAACGAGACGCACGCTCTCTAGTTACTAGGATGTACGAACATTCATTCCTTTCATTTAGTACATTCAGTTGGTAGAGGCTGCGTTGTACATGACTATGAAAATTTCTTTGCGTAATCACATAAACTCGGCTCGGTCATGAGTTAAAATAATAGGCCGCAGTTAGAGGGAAATCGGCCGGTCAAATACTATGGGGGCAGCGATAGTGTTTCTGCTGAAATGCAGATGTGATGCTGGGCCTTGGTGGGATGGCACAACCGTCGAGGTTCCTTGTGTAGCGGCATCCCTCCCTATGTTTTATAGTACAACCAACAAGGAAATTATCAGGGCGGTAGCCAGAGTCAGCAGAATGCCTACAAGCAGGGGAACAGCACATCGTATAAGGCGTCACCTCAGCAGCAGCAGCAACAACAGCAGCAACAACAGCAGCAGCAGCAACAACAACAGTCGCCTCAACAACAGCCAGCACGGAATATACAACAAACAAAGCAGCAATCCAATCCACAACAGCAGCAGCAGCAACAGCAGCCGGGGACACCTCAAGCCCAACGTCTGAAGCCTATTTTAAAGAGCAGTAACGTCAGTATCCAAGGTAGTCCAGGCCAAATTCAAGGTCAAATCCAAGCCCAAATTCAGGTCCAAAACCCGCCTTATAACCAAAATCAGTCAAATATTGGACAAGTACAACAAACTAATAACGGTTTGGATTCTAGTGACGCTGGTACCGAAAGTATAGAAAGTGAAGTTATAGAGGTACCAAAATGGAGACGCAAAACACCGGGGCGTAAGTTTGTCGATTGATTTATTGAAGTTTATTATCATTATTATTGTTGTTTTTTTTTTTTGAAAATTCTATAAGTTCCATAAATATATCATATATATATATATATATATATATGCATGTATGAATGCAAGTCCATACGATAATAATGATGACAAATCACTGCGCAAATTCGAAGATTATACATTCTATTTATATATTCCGGTGATAACACTAGAGTATTAATAGTAAATTAATCAATGTGAACTTAAATTCTGAATCACTTTATAAAGGCAATTTTTAATTTCGATATTTGCTCATTTTTGTCATCCCTAAGTCTTAATATGATTTTACAGTGAAAGTTGATAGAAAATTAAAACGGTTGCGTATGAATCAACGTTTGAGAAAGACATTACAGCCAAAGAACGCAATTATGGTTTTAAATGAAATGAAAACGGGTGTTCAGTTTACATTTCCCGAAATCCAGTCAATGCCGAATTCCTTGTTCTTAGTTCACGCTGAGGTAAAAACTACCACTATAAGCTTTCTAAGAGACATATAATGAAATATAATCTGCAGTGAAAATTTATGTGATTTTCATTTAGATCGAAGGTAAAACATATATTGGTCAAGGAGTTTCAAAACCACTTGCTCGTCAAAATGCTGCCGAAAATGCCCTGAAGAGTTTACTTTTGGAAAAGATGACTACCGCAGCTATGAAGGCTCGTCTTGATGCAGAAGTCGAAGGTGGCGCCGTGAATAATACCACGGGCGAAACTTCGGAAAATAAAGAAGGCGAGACTAGTAATAATATGGAAACTACACCCGAAGAACACGATGAGATTCCCTGGCGTTCGTTAGCAAGTTTTGCTCTGTACAAATTATTCCTTGAATGGCAAAATCAAGGTACTGTCGTTCCTGTACCGCGACCCGGTTTGTCTCCTGGGAAGGCTAAGAAAGAAAGCAATAAAGTTATAGTACAAAAAGAATTACCTCCAAATGCCATTACAATTCATCCAGTCATGCTTTTAAATCAAATGCGACCTGGCCTTACTTATACAGAAATCAGTCGCATTGGTAATCCCCCTAATACTATGTTCACGCTTGCCGTTGAAATCGATGACCAAGAATATACTGGGGCTGGTGGGTTTCGTCAAATTTTTCACATTCAAAAGGCCCTTACACATTTTCATCTTAAAACAATATTTATTTGCTTCTATGTTTGTTTTGTTTTAGCAAAAAATAAGAAGGATGCCAAAAAAATAGCAGCAAAAACTGCTTTGCATGCTTTATTCAACCTTGTTTATCCAGATGAAAAAGAGGAAGATGTAAATGTGGGTTAAAGAATTCATTAATAATACTTACTCCATTTTAATCTAGACAAATGCATTTTGCATAATAGAATTGACGATTAAAGAAGTAACAAATAATGACAGTATTTGTAATGCATAACCGCAGTTCTAAAGCAAAATTGAAAAGTTCTTTATATTTGTAATCTTCAGATCTATTATTTTATCCTAAGAGGATAAAGTTTTATTTACTATGTCTTATTATGCACCTTATAGGTAAACAAGTTTGACTGTATTCCAAATAATTTTACATTACGATGACTGTGTCGATCGATTCTACATAAAATTGGAATAGAACTATTAAGATCTAATAATAGATCTTATATGTACTACATTAAATTTAGGTACAATCTTTGTACCTAAAAATTTATTCAATCCAAGTAATTTGAAATAAAGCATATTTGTGACAAAATTAACCTATTAATTTATTTTTATTTTAATTTTGCCCTAGATTTCATATTAAACAAGGATACTCTCATTTTTTTATAATGAAATTTTATGATTAAAGTAAATACTATATCTAGAAGTTAAGTATTATTCTTATTTAAATTATTAACATTAGTTTCTAGATTAGCCAGCAGCAATAATAATAAAAATACTTTTCAATGTAATGTTGATAATAAAACTATAATTTAACATTTCTACACGTAAATGTATTGATTTGTAAATGAATTTTTTATTATATAACGAAGATTTTTTTTTAATGAAAAATTGCATAAAACGATGTGATTGTTGAAGAAAGATAACGATGTTAAGATATTTTTATTGTACATTACATGTGCGGTTGCCCACTAATAGAATGCATGATATTTTTTTATTGCGAATGCTTGAATATTTCCAGGTTTAGGTAATTGAGCAAACGGTTAGATTATTTATTGTTTGAGCTCCAGACAATTTATAAGCCGCACAATAATGCGTCCACTGTGAATGTTCAATCATGATAGTGAATTTACATAATTGCAGCTAGAACACACATTTCATAAGTTTAGTAAGTTATTAGTAAATTACGTTTTTCTATTTAAAGTGAACTTGCAGCCTAAATAAGTTAAGCCTTGTTCTCTAATTATAAGACTGATCTTTCAAAAAATAATTCTTAAATACGAAGATAAATTAACGATGATTATACAAATAATTTACACAATGTTATTAAATTAACTTTATTTGCAATAATTATCATACGTATAAGGCCAACCACAACAGTTAATATTTATTTTTCTCGACATTTTTTAATATTAAATAAATTGTTAAGAATTTCAATTGAATTAAAAAAAAAAAAAAGTATATATATATATATATATAAAATACACAGTTCTAAAATAATCTTTATTTAATATTTATTCGCGTGAAATTACCAATCTTTTTCTTTTATATTAAAACCAGAATCATTATTTAAATTTTCATCAAGTGCCATCAATATCTGATTAAATTGATTCGGACATGTGACCGAAAATCTACACAAAACATTTTAGCTTTTCCTATAAGTAAAATGTATGTTGCACATCAAGCCATCATTGAATTTATTCTAATTATACTCTCATATGTATATTGTAGTGTTGAATGGATTTACTTTAGAATCAAAATTAGAATCTCTAATGTTGTCAGTGGATACTCGTAACCACCCTTGATATAAAAATCACAGTGCGTCGTCAGATAGATACCCGGGTTATCTAATAATATGAAAATGCTGCTTATATCAAGAGTCAGTGACCAAGGGACTGAGCAGATATTTATATAAAGTTGTCATATAAGAATATTACAATGTGAAATGAGTACATATACACAATTAACGTAAAAGTACTAATATTTCAAATTTGGTTTAGATTTTACTTTCTATTGCGTATATGGACGCTTGCAAATATACTTATGAAAATTGTATGAAATAATATCTAGATTTTATTTTACTTAACACTTAAATGCAAAAATTGTTAATAATTTTTTTATATTTTAAACATGATATAAGGACTTTTTTGTTTTGTTTTGCTTAACTAACTTTAGAGGTATGACCACTGATAATATAATAATTTGAAAGGTATTGTTTATCGTGTATAAAGTTACTTCAGAATAATAATAGATAATTTTCAATAATTTAATCAATATTTTTATATAAATTTTATAGAAAATTATTTATTTTAATAGATTACACGTGTAACAAATGAATCATTAAAAGTATAAAGTAATAACAATTTTATAATGTTTATAGTATTAATAAAACTATATATGACTTAACAACATTATAACTTAACAATACTTTAATATTGAAAGTTGTAATAGTTTTTTGAATATCATTATATATCATTATATATCATTATATTGAATATCATTAAGTATAAAAACTAAAATTAAATAAGTACCAAATTCAGATATAAAACTAGTTGGGAATGATTAAAATTACAATTGGTAAATGGTATATTAAACTTAATAAGTATATCGTAGATAAAATAATAAAAAACGCAATAACATATATTCTATATAAAATTAATATAAACTTTTTTTTATGTACAATTTACAACAACAAAAATTAAGATTATATATATATATATATATATATATATATATATATATATATATATATAAATATAAATCTTTTAACTCGAATAATTATAGCTTGATAAACTACATTTTTAGTGGTTTGATAATATATTATTTTAAAATAATATAAAAAACTTTTGAACTGTTATGACTTTAAAAATCCAAAAAATCTAATTGATTTAATGTAAAATTTATTTCAATCTAGATTTTTATTACAGATTTTTAAAGCTCTTGTATTGACAATCATAGCTGCTTTCTTGGAATGTTCCTTAATTTTTTTAATTATAATTTTAAATTCTGATTAATTACAAATATAGATATTTTATTTGTTTTTAACCATAAAAATATAATAAAACTTTAATATACCCATCGTATCTTTTTAAACCCTGTATAATCTTTAATTAAATAAAACAAACAAAAATAAATATATTTAAGATTTGTAAATATATTAGTTTTTTGGATATTTTTCTAAATCTTTCTTGATTTCATTCCAAGCCTTTTGAATTTGTTGTTGGGAAATTTCATGACTCCATAAAGTAGAAACAACTACATGTGCATTATGGATTTGTTCAATGTTACTTGGCTGCACCAAAATACGTTTCTTGGCTTCTTCTGTGCTTAATTTGTTACGCTCCATTAATCTTTTAATTGCCTTAGAGATTAAATAAAATTGTAATTAATTTATAATAAAATAGTAAATAAAATTTTAAATGCACGTTATATGTACTTACTTCTTCTTGTGGAATTATACATGTCCAAATTTCATGACAGATATGTTGCCAGCCAGCTTGAATTAAAACTGCTGCTTCGATAATCACAATATCAAAACCTTCTTTATACAATTTATCAATTTGATTTTTAGCTTCCTCAAGTATAACAGGCCACATTAGTTTATTTAATTTTTCTAACTCATTCTGTGAAAAAATTGCTACCATTATGCCATTTCTCTATTAAATTATTAATTATCTTAATTATTATTTGCACACCTTATCATTAAAGACTAGACTACCCAATGCTCTTCTATCTATTTCACCATCTGAAGTTAAATATTCAGGTCCAAATGTTTCAACAATTAAATTAAAACATTTCATACCGGGAGCATAGAGAGAATGAGCAATTAAATCACAATTAATCAGTCCAGCACCTAATTTTTCTATTTTCTCCGCTATGCTTGATTTACCACTAGCTATACCACCAGTAAGTCCAATTATATAGGGTCTTATAGGTTTATCACCTATATTCTATGAAATAATACTATTTATATGTAAATGTCTCATAACAATTCAGAAATATTTTATTATAATAGTAACAGACTATTTAATTACGACTCTCGTATATACTTACAGGTTCTTTTAATCTTACACCTAGTAAACGCATCCTTTGATTACTGGAGCTTATTTTTGTTTTTTCATGTTCCTGATGATTTACATCTTCAACTAATTTTATAACATGAATAGCTAGTTGTTTTAGATTCTTTTGTACACGTTTCTCATTAACCATCTCTCCACCTTTTAAAGTCTCTTCACTTACTAAAATCATTTCTAAAGTAGGATCTTCAATCGACGGTCCGTACATATTAGTAATTGGCACTACATTATAAGTTAAGCAAGGATCTACGTCTTCTGTGAAATCTTTCAAAGAATTCATACGCTGTGGACATGTTTCAATTAGCTCCCATAAAATTTTTTCTGAAAATTCCAATAATAAATATTTTTATAAATATATTAAAGAATCCTTAATATTTTATTAAAACAGTTTACTTTGCAACATATTTGTATCCGTAACACCCACTGTTAGATTTTCAGTACAATAAAGTATTGCTTCGCTTAAAAAAATCTTATGACCATTATGTAATCTATCAAAAGTTCCTCCTAGTACAACATTTTTGTACATTGTCTCTTCAATATCATTGGTACTGCTTTTATTACAATTGTTATCTTGGTCTTTCTCATCAAAAGTTATAAATTTACATCCCATTGATGTATTCGATAAACAATCTTGCATGAAAGTAATCGCTTCATTGCTGTTGTAAGTCTGATCGAAAATAACTAGTTCCACTGGTTTTTTTGTATGTATGATTGATACATTAGGATTCTTTAAATGTGACAATAAAACTCTGACATCTAAGCAATTAAAATGTTTGGATGCAATTGTGTAAATATTTGCTATAATTTCAAAATAACGAGGCCCTTTTAGTTTTACCAATGGTAACGAGTATGCGTTAGAAATAATGTTTTTTTCAGGAAAATATTGAATATAAAGGGTTTTTAATACATGATTCTTAATGGCTGGTAATAATTTGCCTACTTTGGCTGGGTTTGTTAATATTAACAATCCAGTATTAACCATATTTTAAAATTTGTTTAAATAACAAGTGTTTATAAAATATAACCTATTATTCTTTATTAACGTTGGTCACATCACTAAATTTTGACATTTGTATCGTAAGTATGACACAAATTTAATTTCTAATCATAGAAATTATGTAAACGTCTTGTTGACTCAAATAATTTAAAAATGTAAATAAGATTTCAAATGCGACCTTTATTTAGTAACAATCGGACCAGGATTCACATTTATGACATTTAATTATATTTTAATCATGAACATTGGATTTTGCTGCCGTATTTAAAAAATTTCAAATATTCAAGAATTGACAATATTAAGTATTTGTCGATTCATTATTTTACTAAATATATTATTCTTTGCAAACATAAGGTTTGTTAAATTATAAAGGAAACTGTAATGTTTAATTTTGCAAATGTGACGTAATAGAAGCGTCATTTTTTCTTAAAGCAAACGAACTTTCGTTGTATAAATTTCCTTCAATGGCTTATCATTCGTTCTTATTATTTACAGGTATGAGTGTAAATTTTGAGTATTAAGTTAATTTTTGTTTATAAATATAAACTTTTCATTGGGTTAATTATAACCAAAATTTTTAAATAAAGTATTTTCAGAAAAATTCCACTTTACATGGGCGGGAGCAGTGTGGATACAAATTCGGTATGAAATAGAAACAAATTTGTAAAAAATCAATTCAACGGATTTTTGAAGGTAGGTAGTTGTATTTTATTTAGAATTTTCATACAAGAAACAATTTATCTTTTATAAAGAAAATAGTACAAAATTATTTTAAAACTTATTTTTGATTTTATTTAATAAATAGCATTAAAAGAATATATACATATATCTCATCTATATATAGAATGTAGAGAATTTCTTTGAATATTAGTAATATAGTAGTTTATAAATTGCAAATCTAATGCAAATCTAATAGAATCTTTTTTCATCAATTCTGTAAATTTCGAAAAATTCATTGAATTTCCTGTATTATCATTTCTAAATAAGTTATTCGCGTTCATTATAAAGCATAAACTTGAATAATTCTCGTTGTTTTTTTTTTTTTTTTTTTTTTTTTTTTTTTTTTTTTTGGTGGCCTGATATTATCTGTCCGTAATATTTAGATTAAACATTGCTGCTGGTTTTTAGTCGATTAAATATTTTACATAGATATTTAATATTGACAAAATTATGTGCCTTAAATCGGTGATTTATCGTTATTTTTATATATAAAAGGATATAAATTTCTTTAGTGAATTTTGAAACATTCGAATTATGCGATGTATAATACGTTTAAATATAATCCGTATTTATAAAACAGAAATAATGATAATATTTAACTGATTTATAAGCACTTATTAAAAATGTAATCTTACAATTGAAATTAGTACGTGTAATAGAAAAGGTTAGTCGCCAAATTTTAACTCAGGTTTAAGTCGTATTAAAAAACATATTTTAAGATATGTGATAAATTCAGGCATATTTAAAAAAAATACTACATTTAACAAAATTGACATAATTTCAATGTTATATATAAAAGTTAAATATATTGTTTAATAATTGAAGCGTGACAGTTTTTCAAAAATATTATAACAGTAAATTACACGCAGATTTATACCCAACATAAAAGTAAGTGATATAAGAAAGAAAGTACAGTTTTAATATTATTAATTTTTTAAACGAAATGTTTCATATATTACTTATGCTTAATTCAATAAGAATTCTTTTATAAATAGAAAATAATTTACAAATATAATAATAATATTGTTGCCGATTATTACGTTGTATTTATATGAAAAAGTATCTTGTAACTTTTAATTTAAAAAATATAAGTAAACCTTGTAAGATATAAAAACGTTTGTAAGATATAAAAATTTGAAAATAACATAATATTAGTAGAAAACACTTTCATAGTTAGCTGATTACATATTTATATGTGTATATATATATCACATATTTATATTTATATTTATATTTATATTTAGATATTTTAGATTTATATTTATATTTATATTTACATATTTATATACACATATTTATATGTGTATAAAAATATTATCAATGTCCATTAGTAAATAAATATATATATATATATATATATTTATTTACTAATGGACATTGATAATATTTTTTAATAAAATTATAATAGCAATTTTTGTTTCAGAAAATATTTATATGTGAAAACTATCGAAATAAATTATTTGATGAATAATAATTAAGAATAATATTTAAAAAATAATTCTTAACATTAATAAATTCTAATTACGTTACAATGGACAAAGAATTTATTGTATTAACAAATAGTTCTTCAATTAACCATATTTTTACAAGTATTGCACAAAATTCTTTGTTACTTTTTACTAACTCTAATATACAAACTGTGGGGATAATTGTACTTGCGGTTTTAACAATAATTAGTGCTGCATCATACATGTTTTATAGAATAAAAGGTTTTATTCGTCAAACAATATTAACATAGATTTTCTCTATTCATAAAAATGTATCGCTAGATATTTTAATTGAAATTCTTGATATTTTAGATAATAATATTAGAAACATAAGTAAAAGTGAAGGAATTACGAGAAAACGAGAATTACAAAAGTGTTCTTTGTATTCATCGAAATCTGAAAATTTTAACTATAATAAAATTTTAAATGAATTGCATAACCTATGCAACGTAAGTATTATTATAGATAATTACAAATTATAAACAAAATTTTCATAACTTGTATTTAATTTTAAAAAAGTGTTACGATATTAAAGTAATGCCATATACGTTATTAATATGAAATCCAAGATTTACATTGTAAAATACATAAAAATTATTAATTATAAAATTACTTTGAAATTAAGCATATTAGAATATTTTTTTTTTATTTTTTTTTTATAAAATTATTTATAAAAATACATATAAAATTACATATTTTATTCGTGTTAAATTTATTTGAAAAATTTATTATTTTTTTCAATTGAAAAATATTATCATATAATTCGTAATTTAACATATGTTTCTAATACATCAAAATATTTATTATTTTAATCATGTTTAGATAGTGATTGGTGTATGTAAAATTACATTTACATTTATCAGTACATTTATCTAAATATTTTTATATCTGAAAGGTTTAGATGTAACGATAAAACAATTTTATAAATGGTTTTATTAGTTTGTCGAATTAGCACACTTAGATTACTTTATTTTTGAGAATAATATCTAACTATATAATAATTTCTATTAATATATAATATAATAATTTTTAACTATGTAGTATAAGATGTATAAAATATAAAGTATAAGATGTATAAAATATAAAATATAAAATATAAAATATAAAAAAAAAAAAAAAATAAAGCAATAGAAGTTTTTTTTTTTTATATCATTTTAACTTTCATTGTGATAATTTATTCGTCAATTTATAATGCCTCTTATTACCTGTATTTGAAGATTTTCAAATTTATACATTAATTTTACATACATGCTATTTTTTAAAATGAATTAACCAGTGCTGGGAAATAATATTGAGTAAGATTGTGTGTAACATACCGCAGGCTTATTTATCAAAAACAATTTCGGATTGTTTCTATGTACAATCTTTCCAATATTTGAACACTGTTAAATTTCAATATTACTGGTTAACGTCAACAACATTTTTTTAATGTATTCTATCTATAAATAATATTGTTTCTTTAATTCTAAAAATGTTATTAAGCTACAAAATCAAATGCAGCATACTTTACGTGTTTATGTTTTTTTTTTTTTTATTATTATCAATGCTTAAAGACAAAATAATGTCCGATATAAAAATGTCATTGAATAAATTTATATTTAAAGTTTATAATATACAAACATATTGGAAATTATCACGTTTTACAATTTTTTGTGTTAACATTTTTTTTTTGTTATTGTTTTTGTTGACTAGTTTGCTGTTATTTTGTATTTAAACATAAAATAAATATTTTTTTAGATATTCAAGATTCGATTATTTTACGATAAAGCAATAAGTGTAATAAATTATATGAAAATATCTTTACTGCATAAAGCAGCTATATAAAAGTCATACTAATGTCATGTAAAAAAAAAAAGAAACCTAATAATAGTTTAATAGTTAACGTTAGCAAAGATAGTATTTAAAAATGATGCTATAACATGTATATGTAATCCTAGTAAGAAAATAAGAAAATATTTGTTACGAAGAATTTAAGATAAGAAATATCAAGATTTTAGAAATTAGACTTGATGATAGTGAGTAAACAGGAGATGAATCATATATTGTTTGTGTTTTGTTAAATATTTAGGCAAACATTGGTTATTATTATTATACTTGTCGATGAGCTATCACTTTGCTTCACTTTGTTGCCTGAAAGTATATTTATTGATATTTGAATATAAACACGCGAGAGTTAGATATATTATTTTATAAGATTTATGATGGAAATAACACTAATTATTGGTCACATTAACATCTTCAATTTCTGTTAGGGCATAGAAATCGAAGCTTTTTAGAAATTACAACAATTTATTGTTCGCAATCGAATAAATCTTTAGTTAGAAACGCTGCTGCGTCTATAAAATTGGATCAATGTAAATATCTGTCTCAGTATTATGTAAAAAGTCATTATATAACTGCTGGAATACACGATAACATTTTTATATAAAATAGTATAAAAACAAATGATTTACTATAATCATTTTTGTACAGTATTAAAAAATGCTATAGATTAACGTTTTTTCTTAAGACGCATAAATATATTAACTACATGAAATACGATTTTATATTAAATTGTCCTTGTAAACAAATATTCAATAACGTGTCTATTGAAAGTGATTTCCAATATTATACTTTCAACATATATACTGGAATTTTTAAAAAAAAAAAAAAAAAAAAAAATGCAATATAATTCTATTTTTAGAACTGCACTAACATTTTTAATTCGCTGAAATGCATAGAACTTATTTCCAACTATCCTCAATTAATAAACGTTAAACTGTCTGATGGTTTAACGCCATTTCATCGAGTTTGTTTCCACGGCAACGATGCATTAATAGAATACATGCTTGAAAAAGGTATTAAAAAGTTTTATTACTGCTTTAATCATTATAAATTTAACATAAATATGTATGTTTTTAAAGTATTTATTCCAGAAATAATAGAGAATATATTTTAGGTGCGGATCCAGAGTTGAAAACGGTTGCTGGAGAGAACGGGTTATGTATGGTACTTTATTATTACATATACGCCAAGGCTGAAAATTTGAATTGCTTAGAAACTTTATACGCAAAGGGTAATAAATGTTACATGTAAAGTTTTACGAATTTCCATGTTGCTAAAATTCACGTTGCATGTTTAATATTTATAGGCTGCCACCTCACATTTGGCGATGAATGGTATAAAATATTTTTAAATCTGTCAGTCAGGGCTAATAATACAAATTTGACCAAATGGTTACTCACTCATTCAAAATCGCCAAAAGGAAAACATTTTAATAGAGCTTCATCCGCTCCTTTATAATAAGTAACATTTTTCCTTAATTTATTTTAAACATGCATACGCGTACACACCATTTATATTATTTAAGTTGACAAATGAATTGCGTAAATATGGTATAATACAAACAAAACTTATTCTGTATAATTGATATTATAATGTAATTGCATTGAGTATTGTATTTTAAAAGACTGATTAATTTGTCTTTTTATATTTGAAATCTTTAAATATTATGCTTTTTGTATTTTACAATTAAGAATTTAAAATATCATGATGTAGTGACTTTAATAATAACATTCACCGTAAAAAATTTAATTTTCAAATTTAAAAAATTTTAAATATGTTTTTATAATAAAATTTACTTTGTACAATGCTTTAAAAATAGAAATATTTATGTTGTTAATATTGAAAGACTAACTTATAACTTAATAAATAACTAATTATTACGGCGAATGCCATGTTGTCGAGTGGCATATTTGCTAAGTATTTAAGTTTTAAAGAGTAAAGGACGATTTATTGTTTCAGTTCATTTATTATTTTAAATGTATTATTAAATAATATTATTCTAATTTTATACGATATTATTTACTTTTAAACCTAACAATCTATCGATACAGCCATTTATATAATATTAATCTCATGAAAAATGTCATTCAAGTTAAATTATTTATCATAATTTAGATAATTTTTTATATAGTTGTAAAGCTAATAATCTTGTGTCTGCATTAAGTTTAAAACGTATTTTAATAAGAATTCTAATTTCAATTTTAGTACAAATATTAATATAAAAAGAGACTAGTACAAACAAAAATTGATAAAAAGAAGATAGCCGACCCATGTAAAGAAAGCATGTAAATTTCTTACAGATCGTTTGAAACTCATTGATATTCACATAATATTGGTAATACTTTTAAATGTTAAAAACTTGATCGATGCATTTCTATTGAAACATTTTCTTTGTCCTACTTGATTAAAAAAAGGATAAGTCCTAAAATATTCATGATTTACTCAACTATATCTCACTACTATATCTTATACATAATTATAATTTAAAAAATTATAATATTACAGATATTTTTTTTTCTTTTTTTCTTTTTGCATAATAGATTTAATACTGTGCTCGAGACTTTGTACAATAATTTCAGAATTTTAATTAACAAACGCTAAATGATTGGACCTAGATATTTTAATAGACTATGGAAAGTCAAAATTAATTAGAATGCTTTTATTGCAATTTTTATTAATAAAACAAATAAAATTTGTTTAATTCCATTTAATTATTTTACTTATTTGTTTTAAAATTCTTATCAGCGCTTACTACTATTAATAAAAATTTTATTATCATATAGTATAGATTATTGCAATATAATATTTATTACTGAAATCCAATAAATGAGATTTTAATTTTAAGTTAAACGTATTAATATAGAGTAGTATAAGATTTTACTTTTATATTATTTATTTCTTATCAAATCTGTATCATTATTCTCGCTAAATTTTCTCAATTATGTATTTTTTTTGCAACTAAAATGATCGCTGCAATTTGTTTCAATGTGAGATACGGTGTGTCAATTATCATTTGTACACCATGAAGATATATCGTCGATATGTATTATTCGAGTAAATTATGATTTATACCTTGTTTATTATTTATACTTAAATTATGAAATTAGAATATTATAAATAAGAAAAAAAGGTTTTCGGAATTAAATAAGCTTTCAATAGTATTGTAAAACTGGTATGGGAGAACGTCGCTGTTCTAAATTTTTACCAAATTTATTTATTCAACCATTGACTGGCATAAAACATGTAACGTACCACACTTATATTGTATTGTCGGCGAATTACAATAAATAACAAAACAAAATTGTACCTACTCAAATTAAATATACTTATTGGGTATGTTTTTGAAATAATATATGTGAATGTAAAGATAATAATAAATCTATATAAAAAAATATTATTCAACTATATAACAACAGCAAATGTCCATTTTCAATGGTTAATATTTAATAACAAAAGAGATCGACAATAAGATAAGAATAGTAAAAGATATCTGAGGATGACAATCGTTCATATTGTTTGAATGTAATGGTACAGGCAGCAAATGACTGAATATTGCTAATATCCTAACAATAAAAATGGATTATTCTTTACAAAAATGTGGATTATTGTTACAATATAATTATTAATGCTAAAATTCGTTTTACAATGTGTCAAGTATTTATAGATAATTGATTGATAAAATTCTATTATAATATGCGCTCATTTCAATTTTGTAAGCACAATAAGTCATAGTACATTCCCTTTTTCTCAATAAGTTCAGTGTGCGTGCCACTTTCAGCGACGATTCCTCGATTAACTACGCAAATTACGTCGGCATCTTTGATTGTGGATAGTCGATGGGCTATCAAAATACACGTTCGGCCTGCCTTGGCTTCGTCGAGGGCAGCTTGTACGATCTGCAATGTAAAGCATTAAGTTTTGATTCCTCGCGTAGACATGTAATGCGACAAACATTCATGCAATTGCTTTGTACTCGATGAGTAAAGGATAGTTTTATCGGGGATATTTATGTATTGATTGGTAGGATATTTTATGAAGGATCGCGGGGGAAATAGGGCAGGTTCTTCTTCTTTTTTTTCTTTGCCCCCCCCCCTACCCCCTCCCCCACCCCCCTCCCCTCCCCTCCCCCTACCCTCTCATTCCATTTATTATTAGAGAGTCTTGGACGAAAGAGACATACGATGTGAAAGGAAGAGTTAAAAATTGGTGAATTTTCTCAATATTCTCATCTATGAGAGCAGTAGTATCTTCGTAAGGACATAATGTCGAAACAGAAGCTTAAGTCCTTCCATCGAAGTCCAACGTAAAGGGGCAAATTAGAAGGAAAAAAAAAATACAAAGTTCTTTGTAAATAAACGACTAAGGGATATATCTGTATTTTATTTAATACATAGCTGAAATCATTCGTTATTCAAATTAATGCCGCTTTTAAATAAAAACGATTAAGAAGTTATTTTAAATGAGAAAGCAATGTTAAACAGGGACACGTTAGAATTCAAATGAAAGAATTGCCATTCGTGTAAAGTACCTGCTCGCTCTCGGAATCGAGAGCGGATGTAGCTTCGTCGAGTAGTAAAATCTTAGGATTTCTAAGGAGAGCCCTGGCAATGGCTATCCTTTGCTTCTGGCCACCCGATAATTGAGTTCCACGATCACCTAATATTGTTTCGTATCCAAGTGGCAACGACGACACGAAATTGTGTATGTTGGCTTTTCTCGCAGTGTCGATGATTTCGGACATCGGCACCTCGCGCTCGTTGTCTCCGTAAGCAATATTTTCCGCGATTGTGCGCGCGAATAATGTTGGCTCTTGAGATACTAGACCAAGTTGCTTTCGTAGCTTCGATTGATTCACACTTTTTATGTCCACGTCACTGAGTTCCTGTTACATAAGAAATATTAAGGTTGACGTATTCCACGGCTGAGTTAATTTAGGCTTATGGAGAAACGATTTGTCGATCGATCACCAGGCGAATCAATAGATTTTCAGTTTAATAAGCTTGATTGTCATTTAACGCAATGGACGTTCATTAGACATTCAAGCGATGTCTTCATTATTTCAATTTATTTTATGATGAAAAAGTCCGAATTATTTCCGTCGTAATGTGCGCACTCGATCGTTACAACTTTGTCGATTTAGAAAATATTTTATCGTAAATAATTTATTGTCAGTCACGGCTTAATCGACTTTTTAATTATTCATTTTCAAATTTATTCATCCGTAATGTTAATCCATAGTGACTGATAGCATTTAGACATGAAATTTGTAGTATTTTGGTATGAAAAATCTGAATGCAATGGCTAGCATAATAACAGTATTTAAATAATCGTTAAAGAAGCAGTGTTGTTAAGAAAATTGTCGTTGAACAAGAAAATAATCACCAACAAGGGCAATTTGAAAACTCGTGTCATTCCTTGTCATATACGTAGATTTTATAATTGTTCTTAAAGGCAATTATACTCACTATGATACCGGAATTAGGATCATAAAATCGCTCGATCAACTGCACTATCGTACTTTTACCGCAACCGCTAGTACCAATGAGAGCAATTGTTAAGCCACTGGGAACACTAAGCTCCAAATCGTTCAGAACTTTAATTCCCGGTCTGGTTGAGTATTCAAACGTCACTTTCTTGTATTGTACATTTGCATTCGAGACCTAAAGAGTAAGGCATAATATTATTATTATCATGACACTCGCTCAGTTTCATTGGAAAGTACCGAGGGCAAATATCGTTTGTAAAATAGTTCGATTGCCTCTTATAAATTGCCCTCGACTTTCCACTCTGTCCACGTTAGCGATAAAATGAATTTTCAACTAAAATAATACCCATTGGTCCGAAGACGATGATGCTGAATCTTGAATTTTAGCTTTACGCTCTAATAGATTTATAATCTGTTTGGCGGCTATTAAGCCTTTTTGTAAATTAGGCGCAAAAGCTGAAGCATTAGCGATCATAACCGTGCCCATTATCAAAGCTTGTGACACTCTGAAAAATATAACGAGTCATGTAGGTATTATATATCGTTCTCATCTCGTCACCACGAGATACGATAAACAAAAAATAATACTAATAATCGAGGCATTAACTGCCTGCATTAATCGCTGCATAAAAGTCATAAAATTAATTAATCCTGAGGCTTAAGTTGAATTGTAAATAAAATGCTTGATAATCACTTGAAAACATTGGCGTAGAACAGGCCATTGAATTTTATGAGATATCCTCCATAGTAACTGCAGGCGGCGTAAGCAAAAAGACTAATTGATCGTGCCAAGCCGAAGACAAGACCTCGGAAATGTGTGTTTCGTATCCCGAGCTTCAAACAAGGTATCATGGCGTTTTCGTAATACCGATAGAAAGTGTCCTCTCTGCAAAGACTTATCACTGTGCGGATGTTGCTGACCGCCTCCACAGCGATCTTTGTGACATATCAAATGTAAAGCATTGTACAACGTTTATTTACAAAATGAAGAATATATAAGAAAAGTTTATAGTTAATCGATGGGTCGACTGTTTATTTAAAATGTTGTGTATTGGTATTGACAACAACAACAACAACAAAGACAACAACAACGACAACAACAACAACAACAAAGAAAAAATAAAGAAAAAAGAAATAGAAACAGCGTTAATTCAATGAGAGTGCGAAGAAATGAAAGAGATTTGTAAGTGAATGGTTTGGATAATTAAGTAGTCGTAGTAGTAGTAGTCGTAGTAGTAGTAGTAGTAGTAGTAGTAGTAGTAGTAGTAGTAGTAGTAGTAGTAGTAGTAGTAGTAGTAGTAGTAGTAGTAGTAGTAGTAGTAGTAGTAGTAGTAGTAGTAGTAGTAGTAGTAGTAGTAGTAGTAGTAGTAGTAGTAGTAGTAGTAGTAGTAGTAGTAGTAGTAGTAGTAGTAGTAGTAGTAGTAGTAGTAGTAGTAGTAGTAGTAGTAGAAGAAGATCAACGATACGGACACTTAATAACTATGGCTCTATCCTCTCTTTGCCACTATAGCATATGGTAACGAGTTCCCGACGTAAATCACTTATGAAGATACCAATGAGGATGTGCGCAATTAAGCTTCCTATACCTCTATTAACCGTCATTACCATCCAGATCATTATTACTTACAGTGATTGCAATGACGTAAGAAGGCTATCGAACGCTTTCAAAATATCTCAGATCCAAGTTCTTTAAACGGTTTAATGCAGATTTGTCAGGGGTGCAGTACTGACCTCTACAAACAAATATTCTCTCGAAATAATTCGAAAGACGGCAATTCGCGTCTAGACAATCGCGGACTTTCATAAAAAGTTTCTCACAATAGAGTGGCAAAACTTTTGTCTCTACTCGAGATACGCAAGTAGAACGAATCAATGATAAGTAATATCGAATCACATTGTATTTGGTGACAGATTTTTAATTATATTGTATAGCCGATGTTAATGGTTCTGATAGTAGCTGTAATATAAATTCTCTCAGCTTCTATTAAAAGCATCGAAGAAATGTTTAATAATTGCGCACTTCTCAATAATTACAAACCGTAAGATCTTATTAAATATGTATTGAAGGATAGTAGAGGGACGGAAATAGGCTACGATAAAGTAAATAATTGGTATTAAATATGACTTAACAGAGGTCGATAGGAAGTAGTGGATTATTTGCCGAGTGCATTCGAAAGACAATGTAAATGTAAATTTGTAACGAGCGAGAAAGAGAGGAAAATGATGTATGCGCTTAAGTAAATTTGTAAATATTCAACAACAATGATAACAAACTATTTAATTAACTGTATATTTTAATAGTCTTAACTATTCGATTACGTATTACAAATACGTAAAACATTTTCGAATCATTGCGTTGCTTACAAATTGAATAATTCGAGCTTTTAGCCGTAATGGTTTGAAATATGTATACCCAGCGTTTCGCTCCGGAGTTTTTCTTTTCTTAGTACAGTATTTTTAGTTATACAGTATGTTTAATGTCGTTATAATAAAAAAAATACTATTAATTAGTTTATTAAAATACTAAGGCTAGTATTTTTGAGATATAAGCTATACATTCATCGATTAAATGGTAGATATTTTATTTGAAACGAAGTTTAAAAATGGTATGCATATTCTTTTTAATTTATCCAAAGAACTTGATTTCATGAAGGTAAAGAAAAATCAGATTACCACAAAGCATCGTAATTAGTCGCGTTGGAAATTTATTTGTAAAGAAATTTCAGAAAATCCGTTAAATCGAATTATTTTATGATTCTTACGCACATTAATCCGACGATGATAATTTTATCGTTCGACCTTCGAAAAGTTAAAAATTCACTTACACCTATAAATACTTTAGTACTTGAGATTCTTTTTTTTTTTCTTTTCTTTTTGTTAACCTCGGATATAGAATGGATGCTCTAATCGAGCCAATTAACAGATAGTTTTGCATAATCCGTTTGCATAATAACGTTCGACTGTTAAAAAAGAATATTAAATAAATATTTTAGTGATCGAGTCGTGATAAAAAAAAAAAAAAAAAGCTTTGCAAGCAAGTGCATGAAATTTGATAATTTCGCGGTGATTCAATTTGGGTGGAGAGGAGGAGTTCGATACCTTGGTGGAGGAGCCGAGGGAGCTATGATAGTTGAGCGTCTCCATCTTGAAAAGAAGACCCTGGAAGTAAGTGATAAACAAAATTATGGGAATGAAAGATATGCCGAGGAGACCGAGACGCCACTCGTAATATATGGCCAGGCCGATGGAGAGGCTTATGGTGCTGCAGGATTGAACGATGGTCCCGATGCGCTGGCCGATGGCACCCTGGACCGCAGTAGCATCCGTGGAGAGCTTGGAGCAGAGGGACCCAGTGCCGTTGGCCGGTTCGTCGTACCAGGCGATTTCCTGGCGCAACATCGCCTCGAACATGAGTCCACGTAGCCGCATCGTCAGCTTCTCTCCGGAGATGCGGAACAGATATACCTAAGGTACTACGTATTAATCTCTTTTTGCAAAAAATCTCTTTGAGCTCCTGGCAATGGTGGTCGATTCGGGATTTACTCCTTATTATGCAAACGACGTTTCAATTTATTAATGCTTTAGTCAATTAATACATAGCAGGTATATTAATGTAATGCAATGTAATGTCAGGTGGGGGTAATAACGTTAGAAGCTTATTTATATGAAACATTGGGTGTAAGAACCTGTACTCGCAAAAAACTATCGCACGCGTAAATTCAAATGTAATATGTTCAAATATGTTTGTTAATTCTATTTTTCTGTGCAATGATTAAAATCATCGGGAAAAATATATTATTTGGAATACGAGTACGTCGATTGCCCTTACAAGCCAAATATTTAATTAATGACCTGATTGTAATTCGAGTAAGAATAAATTGATCGTGGTCGAGCTGACATACGAGTAAGGAATGTATGTGTAATTAATTCGATTCCTCATTATTATATTATTAAAGTACAAAACTATTTTGAATTTATTGATTGAAATTTATTAGTTTGCGTATTAGCGAGTGATTTAAGATAGTTCGACGAATTTTATAAAATTTTTCGTCTTATCAATGTATTAATAAGCTCTCGAGATATCAATAACAAAATATTACTTTAATATTCTTCATTTAATAAATAAGACAATATTTTGGTCATAAATGTTTGTTCGTACTACAATCGATTATCAGTCGCGGCATTCAGAATGTCTCTTAATGCGTTAAAAGTAAACAAAAATACGATAGGAATAAGATTAATTTCTTTATTCATTTTTCTCAGGCTTCGTCCAACGATTTAATATTTAGTAGAGGGTGATCCGATAATAAAATAAATAACGATTACAAAATTTCGTGATGAAATTTAATTTCTAATCTTTAATTCCGTTTTATTAATCAATATTGCATTTAAAAAATCTAAGACTAACATTTCTCAAACAAATATAATAAATATATATATATATATATATATATATAAATTTCTTATTTAAGTAAGCTAAATTATTTATTTAATTGATTTTAATTTTCAAGTCACATTTCGTGGAATAAATATCGACTGACTATGAACGTAAACATGAATATTATTTTATAATAGAAGAAAAAGATAAATAATTAATGTGCTTATTGAGCTTTTAGGAACTAATTAGGAACTTGTAGAAAACATTTTCTGAATCCTCAAACTGTACTTGATTATTAGTTAATTTTTTATTATATAATAATTATTATAAATATATTCATAATTACGATCAAAATTTTCAGATCTTATATACAATATATTTTGTAATTTTGAAACGTTGTATTTATTATAATTCATATTTCAATTCTTCCAATAGTATGAAAGTTATAAATGATTATGTAATAAACTATTATATAATGTATATATATATATATATATTTTTTTTTTATTGTGATATTATTTCTTTTCTTTATAAATTAATTATTAAAATGCAATTGTTTTATTTTAATTTATTAAACAGCATATAGCTTAACATTTTTGTCTTTATAGATTTAACGTAAGCTATTGTCTGATCCAATATACGGTTTTATAATTTAATAATAATAATAACAATAACCGTGTTAATAAGTCAAATAACAATATAAATACTGCTAATTGATACAGACATTCGCTTAAAAATTATCCAATTAAATTTATCGAATTAACGACTAATTACATATCAAAATATGTATTATAAACATTTAATAAGGTAATTGTCCCGATATTCGCAACAATACTGACCAAAAAAAAAACATTACATTAAATTTAGAAGTCTCATGAATTTACATACCTGAATAAAACTTGTGCTTCCTACAATGATACCAGTAAGAATAAAATAAAGGCAATAAATATTGGTATTTGACCGAACTACATCCGGATCGGGCTCTGATAGTACCTGAACAATAAATTTAAATATTTGTCGTAAAATTGAATGGAAAAAAAAAAAACATTATATTTAATTACTTACACCAATAACATCGCCAAAAAGTACAGAAAATAATGGCATGGAACATCCCGATATAGCTGCCATTATACATGCAATGACATTGTACGGTAATTCTTTCCTATTTAATTGTAAAACTCTTGCGGTTGAGACACTTGGCTCCGTTACGATCGGCTTTTCTTCATTCGTCACCTACATTACATGCAAATAATTATATAGTGTTTATTTGATATTTATCAATTCCAATAATGGTATTATTAACAAATATACTTCGGAGTTTTTAATAATCGTTTCAAGTTGTTCGTCTTCGTCAAGCTGATCTGTCTGATCATTATTTTCACTGCTCTCAGTAAAATCTGACACCTGAATCGATTATATTAGATATTATTTATAATTTAAAGCCTATCAATCTAAATAAGAATATATTGCATTATGAATTTGTACCACCTGCGCAGTAACAAGAGAATAATAGTGTCCCTTTTGCTCCATTAAATCGTCGTGTTTACCTTCTTCAACGACACTCCCATCGGACATTACAATTATTTTATCTGCCCCTCTTATGGTTGTTAATCTATGCGCGACGATAATTGTCGTTCTACCCTTGTGAACCTATATAAGCAAATAAAAGATAATAAAACTTTCAATATTAATGTTACATTATATTACTATTCCAGTTTTAACTTCTTTTTTATTCATTAGTTTTCAAAATTAGTTTAAATCCCAAATTGGCAAAGTAAAGGAAAATATAGAAGCATATAGTATTTTCCAGCAATAGAAATAATAATAATAATGATATAATTAGATAGGAAAAATTAAAGAAGACGAAAATAAATCGAGTCACCGGTAGGAAATTTTGATAAGATTTCCAAAGTCTTTTGTTTATCTATTACATAATAAATGAAGTAAAAAAATATTTTTATTCTTCACCTTATCGAGAGCAGCTTGAACTTTCGATTCGCTGTGAGTATCAAGAGCTGATGTTGCCTCATCTAAAAGTAAGATATTTGGATTTCTAATCAACGCTCTTGCAATGGCAATTCTTTGCTTTTGCCCTCCAGATAATTGCGTTCCTTTTTCTCCAACGATAGTTTCATATTTCTATAAATACGTATGAAAATACATTAAAAAATAAGCTCGACTTGGATATGAAGGTCGAAACAATGCTCTTTATATTTTATACAATTTAATTGAAGCGAAATTCAAATAACGAATTTCGATGGGTAGTAGACAAATACAATAAAAGCAAGAAGAGAAAAAAGTCATTACAGTCTTTAAAGGCTTTAAGAGAATAGAAAAGCAAGAGTTAAATAAATAAAAGTGTAAACGAGCATTGAACAGGTGAATTCGATAAAATTATGACTCTCGGATATTGTTATCTATAATTAACGTTTTTCAATAAAAATCTTTGTTAAAACTTGTTATTAAATTATTAAGAAAAATACGATTAAGATGAATAATAAGAGAACCATGTGTCGGAGAGAGAGAGATAGATAGAGAGAGAGAGAGAGAGAGAGAGAGAGAGAGAGAGAGAGAGAGAGCGTGAAAGAAATTAATCTATGAATACAAATAAATAAGTTTCTGAAATATGAGGGAAAGAAAAAAAAATAAAAGCTTAACACTCTGGATTCGTAACTTGAATGAAAAATAAGCAAATGTAAATTACCTTAATTGAAAATAAAAGTAAATAACTGTGAAAAGCAGTAATAAGTGTGCAATGCGCAAACAGGATAAAAAAAAATGAATGCAATTTTATTGATAATTTAACGGTAAATAATAAAGCTTAGTAAAGTAATTAATGGATCTGCGCAATGCATTTTGATATATTGTTATTAAATTTTGCTATTAATTACAGTATTTAATTATATTGAAAATGAATGACAACGTAACGTTCAAGTCTAAGTGTTTAGAAAAATCGGAGAAGATTAAAACCAATGTAATGTATATAGATATAAGAAAAGAACGAAAAAGTATGGAAATTGAAAAATTGCTTCAATTGGTCGGGTGACGAGCACATTGACGTTACTAAATTAAAGTAAGGAATATGAGCGTAGAATTCGAAATCCTACCAATAATAACTTTTACAATCACGTGAAAGAATCAATTCAAATTTTCACGCAAATCTTACATTTGGTAATTTCATGATAAAATCGTGTGCGTTCGCTTCTTTAGCTGCGAGAATCATTTTTTCCGTAGAGGCGTCAAGATCTCCGAATCGAATATTTTCAGCGATCGTTGTATCGAAAAGCACCGGCTCTTGTCCCACTATTCCAAAGCAACTTCTCAGCCACTTGATATTTAGATCTTTCAAATCATAACCGTCCAATAGAATCTATAAATGTTAATAAATTGTGAATAAAGTCCTGGAAATGCATTGGCAATAATAAGTTTATCCTTAAATCATACACCTGTCCTTCATTAGTATCGTAAAATCGTTGAAGTAGCTGGATACACGTAGATTTTCCACATCCTGAGCTGCCGACCAAGGCAACCGTTTCACCCTTTTTAACGGAAAAGCTTAAATTTTTCAATACCTGTTCGAATTAAAAATCTTTATGAATACATACGTATGTGGCATTTGCATTAGAAACATTAAAGCTCGATATAACGCTTTAAAAATCTGCCCTAATAATTAATAATTCCCTTATTTAAGCATAAACAGCCATTTTAATGATAAAACACGTTTACAGTTGCAAAAAATTAGATGTACGTAGGAGGTACGCGGTAAATTGAGAAGAAGTAAAACTTAATCGATAAAATCATTAACCTTGGAATCGGCTCTCGATGGATACTCGAAAGAAACATTTTTGAATTCAATCGAGCCGACAATGTCGGTTGGCTTCAGTCCGGTGCTCTCCAAACTATCAATCTTAGGCTTTCTTTTAATAATCGAGAAAACCTTGGCTGCTGCTGCTTTGGAGATGCCGAAGGCTTCGAGGTGAGACGATGCCGCTCCCAGATTAATGGAGCCCATCATTATGCTGAAGAATACCTTTATTCAAAACGGGCGATTTTATATTCAGCAATTGGCTTATAAGCATTTTCAATCAACAAATAATACTTATTCTGCTTGCGTGCGAGCTAGAGATAGTGAGAGGTAGTGAGAGGTAGTGAGAGGTAGTGAGAGGTAGTGAGAGAGAGAGAGAGGGAGAGAGAGAGAGAGAGAGACATATTTATTTTTTTTAATTTGGTCACCACCAAAAGTTGGAAAGTTTGCGCGCACAACGTGACGCAGCACTCGCTCAGCATTCAAAAATTTAATCAGCGAAATAAAAAAGGTGAGGCGCTCGATTAATGAAGCTACTTTCAAGTTATGCGTAATTCACCTATTGGCAAAGGCGCGGACGAGGCCACGAGATTGGACAGTGACGTTGACCTATCGGTAATTTACTCTAAGAGTGAGAGTATCTTAGACGCGGCGGCCAAGAGATTTTCGCGAAAGATTCGAAGGCTCTTTTGTTGTCATTTTAAGCCGGCACGTGCACGTCAAGTGTTGGCCGTTTATTCGTTGTCCCTATCAGTGGATGTCGTTTTCTTATAAAATTCGCAAAAACCATAGTGGCTTGCGTTCTAATTTGACGATAATTAATATTCTCTAGCCCATTTGCAATTTGATTTATCCTACCTTTTGTTGTAAGTAGGACTAGGATCACTCGGCATCAAATCGCTTATTGGCTTCGCTAATCAGTGACGTCTCATTGCGTCAACTAATTTTACGTTTATTGATTCTTAATGTCGAAACGTGGATAATCATAAGTATATAAATACATCAGACTATGTCTAAAACATTTTTATTTCAATATAGAGAACTCTAATGTTCAATAATAAGATTTTTCATGATAAATATTATTAAATTGACTTTTATTGAATAAGAAGTGGAGAACACACCAAATGACTTGTCAAGATTTCGAAGAAACGTAGCGTTTAAAATTGGTAAAAAAAAAAAAAAAAAAAAAAAAAAAACCCACGAATACAAGAACTAAACTAATTTCAATAATTATCTAATAATATTCAATTTTAATAATTTCGCAAAAATAATATTGATACAACAATTTAAGAAATAAATTATTTTTATTCGAAGAATTAAGCTATTTAAGCGAATATATGATATCGTGTGAATCTATTAAAAGCTATTTGCATTTTCATGATAAATATTATTAAATTGACTTTTATTGAATAAGAAGTGGAGAACACACCAAATGACTTGTCAAGATTTCGAAGAAACGTAGTTTTGGAAACGAAAAAAAAAAAAAAAAAAAAAAAAAAAAAAAATCTCCTCGATGTTATAAAACTTCTTAAAATTTGCAACTTTAGCGTATGTTATACTTAATCGTACACTTGTCAAATACGCGTCATTTTTTTTTTTTTTTTTTTTTTTTTTTTTTTAACGAGTCACAGGCGCACCTACGCACAATGTACTACATACAGATAAATAAAATTTAACAGTGTGTAGGTGATTAATCGGTCGATTTCACATCTAATTATTTAAAAATTTAAGACTTATGATAACTATTAGGTATTCGCGTATGGGCAATGGAAATTCTGAAGCTAATGAATAGTTGAATGAACAGTCGGAGATCTCTCTCATTGTTTCGAATATAAGAATAAATTATAATACGTTAATTATTTATAATTTCAACGAGGCTGTTAATTGTATTAACACAAACTTATAATGCACAAGGTTTTCATGCAAATCAATGCCTTTCCGTTCAAATCCATCAGATTTCCGAGTAAATTTTTGTTAATTTCAGATTTACCAGACAATAATATACGTCGAGTAATACGTGCTCTCTACATTAAGTTTACCGAGAGCTTATCGATCGTATTGGTACGTGTTTTTTTTTTTTTAGATCAAGTTTCCGTCAAATATCCAAATATTAATTAAGAAGCAAATGAAAATAAATTTATTTGATTATAAATGTAGCTTTATTAAATACATTAACTTATATATATATATATATATATATATATATATATGTACATCGAAGCCAATCGATGCCTAATATTTAGTTAAACACATTAATCGTTTAATTATTATGGATATATCAGTAATATAATAATTATACTATTGCAATTAGTGCGTGAGTGTGCGAATTTCAGTTAGTAGATACACGCGTATGCGTTGAGTATTGAGTATTGAGGGATATATTATACGAATAAATTCACGTTATGATGATGATGATGATGATGATGATGATGATGATGATGATGATGATGATGATGATGATGATGATGATGATGATGATGATGATGATGATGATGATGATGATGATGATGATGATGATGATGATGATGATGATGATGATGATGATGATGATGATGATGATGATGATGATGATGATGATGATGATGATGATAATAATAATAATAATGATGATGATAATAATAATGCTATAAAAATTATTTCCGGTCCAGACAGTATAATTGTACGTGAATAAATCATATTTTATAAATTTTAAGGATTGGTGTGCTTGTTGAAAGATGTCGATTAAAATATTATGAAATTTAATGATATAATTTTAGTAGAAATTCTAATAGAAATTTTTTAATAGAAGACAAATTAGTAAATAAACTTTCGAAATTTTAATTCAACTATAATTGTAATATAAATTTTATAATACAATGGGTGTTTAAGACACGTATACGCAGGCACAACTTTGTATCTATGACTTTGAAATTAATTCGAATTTATTTATTGTTTTGTAGGCAAAAAGATGAAAAGAAACAGACGTTCGATGATACAGTGCCATTTTTAAAATTGGTAAGAATTTACATCTTTAATTGATAATATAATTAATAAGTAAGCGAAATCGGTTACATAGATACCGTATAAGCCATTTTCGACGATAAAAATTCTTGTTTAAATTCTTTCTTAAAGAAATTATTTATTTTATATCATTGAGATAATATACGCTTAAGGCGTGATTCGCCTTAACGGGGGAAAAAAAAAGAAGAAAAAAAAAGAAAAGAAAAAAACGAAAAAAAAAAAAAACAAAAAAAAACACGTATAAAAATAGATATCGGCCGTATTTATTAATTAATCTGTAACGTTATTAGGATAATTTAAAGTTCCGTAATTCATTTCGTTATATTGTAATTTTGCTGCTTGTTTATGATTTTCTATTACACAGTAATAATCGAGATTAATAGAAAAGATTTTTCTACGTCTACTTATCAATTCTAAATCATCGATCGTATCGATTGCTTAGCACTTTTGTAAATTACTGACGATACCAAGTTATTGTCCTAATGTCCATTAAAATCGTCAACGATAAATTTGATTGCAATGCATATTCTTACATTACAAATACGATAATTTGGAATCCTCTAGAAGGCCAAAATTTCAATTAGACGGAATTCGTTGCTTGAAAAAATAAAAAACTTCTCAATCATTAAACGTAAATTAAAGCATTCGTTTTTTAATAATTCAAGGGTTCATGGAATATTCTTATGCCATCAGTTTCAGTTTGCAACAGGATTGGAAAAGTTTTTGATGTATATCGGTGTGCTTTGCTGTATCGTCTCTGGCTTGACGGTTCCGGCAAATATTTATATCTTTGGAAATCTAGTGGGCTCGATGATATCGGCCGAAATGGGCAACGTGAGTCTCGAAAATATGAACATTATGAACAGTACGGACGAAACGAAAGAATATCTTATGAATGCTGTGACAGACTTCGCCCTTGGCAATACCATAATCGCCGTTATACTATTGGTATTCAGTTACTTTGGCATTATGATATTTAATTATACAGCTATCAAGCAGACTTTCAGAATCAGAAATATGTATTTGCGATCGATATTACATCAGGACATATCGTGGTATGATCTGACGAAAAGCGGAGAGGTCGCGAGTAGATTGACAGAGTAAGTTGTATTTGAATAGTTATTATGATTATTTGTTCGCCTACCAATCCAATGGCTAAGCGCATTAATAAAAATTAATAAATTGAAAAAATTAATAAAAAGCCAAATTTATAATATATATCACTTTTTTTTTATAGTAAATAAACACTATTTCTTATATATTATAAATTTGGCTTTTTATTAATTTTTTCAATTTATTAATTTTTATTAATGCGCTTAGCCATTGGATTGGTAGGCGAACAAATAATCATAATAACTATTCAAATACAACTTACTCTGTCAATCTACTCGCGACCTCTCCGCTTTTCGTCAGATCATACCACGATATGTCCTGATGTAATATCGATCGCAAATACATATTTCTGATTCTGAAAGTCTGCTTGATAGCTGTATAATTAAATATCATAATGCCAAAGTAACTGAATACCAATAGTATAACGGCGATTATGGTATTGCCAAGGGCGAAGTCTGTCACAGCATTCATAAGATATTCTTTCGTTTCGTCCGTACTGTTCATAATGTTCATATTTTCGAGACTCACGTTGCCCATTTCGGCCGATATCATCGAGCCCACTAGATTTCCAAAGATATAAATATTTGCCGGAACCGTCAAGCCAGAGACGATACAGCAAAGCACACCGATATACATCAAAAACTTTTCCAATCCTGTTGCAAACTGAAACTGATGGCATAAGAATATTCCATGAACCCTTGAATTATTAAAAAACGAATGCTTTAATTTACGTTTAATGATTGAGAAGTTTTTTATTTTTTCAAGCAACGAATTCCGTCTAATTGAAATTTTGGCCTTCTAGAGGATTCCAAATTATCGTATTTGTAATGTAAGAATATGCATTGCAATCAAATTTATCGTTGACGATTTTAATGGACATTAGGACAATAACTTGGTATCGTCAGTAATTTACAAAAGTGCTAAGCAATCGATACGATCGATGATTTAGAATTGATAAGTAGACGTAGAAAAATCTTTTCTATTAATCTCGATTATTACTGTGTAATAGAAAATCATAAACAAGCAGCAAAATTACAATATAACGAAATGAATTACGGAACTTTAAATTATCCTAATAACGTTACAGATTAATTAATAAATACGGCCGATATCTATTTTTATACGTGTTTTTTTTTGTTTTTTTTTTTTTTCGTTTTTTTCTTTTCTTTTTTTTTCTTCTTTTTTTTTCCCCCGTTAAGGCGAATCACGCCTTAAGCGTATATTATCTCAATGATATAAAATAAATAATTTCTTTAAGAAAGAATTTAAACAAGAATTTTTATCGTCGAAAATGGCTTATACGGTATCTATGTAACCGATTTCGCTTACTTATTAATTATATTATCAATTAAAGATGTAAATTCTTACCAATTTTAAAAATGGCACTGTATCATCGAACGTCTGTTTCTTTTCATCTTTTTGCCTACAAAACAATAAATAAATTCGAATTAATTTCAAAGTCATAGATACAAAGTTGTGCCTGCGTATACGTGTCTTAAACACCCATTGTATTATAAAATTTATATTACAATTATAGTTGAATTAAAATTTCGAAAGTTTATTTACTAATTTGTCTTCTATTAAAAAATTTCTATTAGAATTTCTACTAAAATTATATCATTAAATTTCATAATATTTTAATCGACATCTTTCAACAAGCACACCAATCCTTAAAATTTATAAAATATGATTTATTCACGTACAATTATACTGTCTGGACCGGAAATAATTTTTATAGCATTATTATTATCATCATCATTATTATTATTATTATCATCATCATCATCATCATCATCATTATTATTATTATTATTATTATTATTATTATTATTATTATTATTATTGCGTTTGCGTTTGATGTTCGACGTATTCATAATACCAAAGTGTAATGTAGTATATTGTAATTGTATCTAATCTTGTATAATTTACAGTTCGAAGAAATATTTGCCAATAAAAGGATAAATTCAAACATTTGATTTATCGACCAATTATATTTATTACATTACTATTGGAATGCATAAATTTTAATTAATACTGGCAATCATCGTTGTAATAAAAAAAAAAATATATATATATATATATGAATCTTACTGTTCTGTCGTTGAATTACTTTTTCCCTCGACGTTCTTATCTTCTTTATAATTATCGATGAATTTTATAGTATTTTGTAACACTCCCGAGCCACTTATATTTGTTGGTATAATAAGTTTTAAATTTTTATGGTTCTTCATGACGTGTATTTTTTTAACCATAACTTTATGAAAATAGAATCGCAATAAAAGTAGACTTTGTAATAATAGTATGCGATCATGAGAATTGAATATGTCGATAACGGAACTTTATGTTCATTTCCTTTGATATGACAAAATGTCCACGCATATTTAATCTTATCGATTAAAATCTTATAACTTACTTTTATCACAACGTCATGATGAGTTAGGTGTATTAAGATAAACGATTTAACCGAATGATCGGTATTATATTCTTGCTAATGTTATTTGTACTTAGCTTATAACGGGCCTATCGTCAATAATTTTATCAAGCAATAATTTAAATTGTCGATTATAAATTCGTAATATAATGTAGAAATGAGAAAAACAAAAAACAAAAAAACAACAACAACAACAACAACAACAACAACAACAACAACAAACATTACTATTAATAATAAAGCGCAGCGAATTCGATCAACAACTTTTTCTTGACGCTTATCGTCTTATCGTAAAAGAGATTTTTGAAAAAATTTCTTACGCATATTTTTATATTTAAAAAAGAAAAAAAGAAGAAAAAAGAGGGAAGTTTTCAATTGTACTCACGCGCTGACTGATGTCATTTCTAATATCTGTCTCATTATATTTATTTTTAATAAATTTCCCAATAAATATCTAAAAATAATAAATATATAATAAGCGTAAGGATCGAAATGTTACTATTGCTAAAAATTTAAATAAGTTCAATGGAATACATATGATGAATTCTAGCTAAAAATTAGCATTTCCGTGCTGTTCTACGGATAAAATTCTAAATTCCAAAGCCTTAATTAAATTATTAATGTAACAATAACATTCCCACGCTATACTCGAAATATTGTCTAAAAAAAAAGAATTACATAAAGAAAAAATCTATGAATAATTAAGGGCAAAAAGGCGAAAAAATTCTTAATAATGTTAAAAAGTCTCAAGACTAAATGCAGTAAAAAAAAAAAAACAAAAAAAAAAAACAAAAAAAAAATATATTATAATGACATTACAAGTAAGTAGATCGAAGCTCTCTGCTGATTTGGTAAGATTCGAGGGCTACCACGAACTGGCAAAAAGTTTTGAAATATTTGCGAATTTTTAACGCTACTTAGATAATAATAAATCTTTATTCAATTATTGCTTAATGTTGTTTGACTAAATATCGTTGAAATATTGTCTTAAAATATTTACCGCAATCGTTCATGATTTGCATATTATGATTTGTAATATTTATCAAAGGAAAACTTTGATTAATCGGAACATTCATCATGCGTGTACGACTAAACTCCTTCAAATGTGTGTTCGTGCGTATTTTTGTAAAGAGGAGCTTTTGTCTAAGACTCTTAGAGAAAATTGTTTGTGGGGGAAAAATTTAAAGTTGAACGCGGTTTCGCTGCCCCTCATAATTAAGGTAATTGCTTTAGTGCTTTTAAAAAACAAGTAAAAAAATTGTATTCATCTACGTAACGCATAAATTCTCAAGTGAATAAGAAAAATTTTTCTCATCTACATTCTCTTTTCGAATCGTCTTTATTTCAAGCCTTTTCAGAGAATTTGAGATAATCTAACAGTACCTGTGAAACAAAAATAGCAGAATTTTTTACGAATAATTATCAAAAAGCTTATTGAAAATAATTAAAAGCGAAAGGGGTACTTGCTAAATAATAATAATTATTGTCATTGTTATTGCTATTGTTACACACACACACACACACGCACGCACACACACACACACACACACACACACACACACACACACAAAACAAAACAAATAGAAAAGAAAGAATCTGTTTATATCAACATTATTGAAATGAATTATTATTATTATTATTATTATTATTATTATTATTATTATTATTATTATTATTATTATTATTATTATTACAAGCCGGGGCTCATGATTATACACGCTTGTCTAATCTAATTTTCTATTTACGATAAAAAATAAATTAACTTCTGAAATATACATAATGATACGCTCTGCAATGCCTAGAAGAAATTGTTCATTTTACTATTGAATTCTTAAAATGATATCGCTTCCTATTATTGTAAAATCATTTGGCGCATGCGCAATACTCGCGCTCCCTTCTGGTATATACTAATGTACTATTTCATTATTCCGATTGTCTAAGCTTTATTCTAATTCCTCTATTTATTCCGCTTGCCGCCAGTTCATTTCCATTCTAAATAAGAAAAAGAAGCATCGTTAAAGTCGGATAATTTTATCATTCTTTAGTATTTAAAAAAAGAACTAATTTATAGACGTATAATCTATTGAATAATTTTGTTCGTGAACGCTCGTTGACGAAATATATTCTGGTATGTCTCATGATTTAATAAGTTTGGATGACATAATTAAGAAGACCAAAACTTCGTCTTCCGCGATGCGAAGCCGAGGGCAAGTACAAATTTTCATATTTAATTTATAAATAATTTTTTCCTTATATTGGACATTTTTGGTAAAAGTCGTAAAAACAGCAAGTATTTGACAAACTAACTCTCACTCTTCTTCCCATAATCAAGCCTACTTGCTGAAACTTTCTAAGCATGTAAGCTTAAATTCATTTCTCCATAAAATGTAAAGCATTAAAACCAACATTATTTACAAGTATAAATTTTTCTCACCATATATTGCTGTCTCTTTTAACTAATGATTGTTTTCATTTTCTCTCTTTTTTATCGAAATTCCAAATATAACCTAATAATGCAAGTATCGTTGAAATTAAATGTTACAATATTATGTTAAAATTAGTTTAGTTAAAGTAATTAATATTTTAGATCACGGAAATCTACATCCAAAAATATACCAAAAACAAATGGTGCTCCTTCCATACGAGGTAGAGGGCTTGAACGCATAGAAGATGCACGATTGAAAATAATACAAAAAAAAAGAAATCATATTACCGATGCCAGAGATAAATTGGCACAAATAGCAAAACAAAGCGACGCTCGACTGAAATTACAAAAACTCAGGGCTTCGAATTCAAAAAAGCTCGATCCAACAAGTATTTCACGAAAGCCTGGACGTAGTGGTCGTATTTCTTTGACAACCAATAAACTGCCATCGTCTCACATACCACATTCATTGCCTCCCGCGTTTATTCCACCACCGAGCAGAAGTTTGAGTTATAGACCACCACCTATACCAGAGTCACATTATGTCAACGACATGATTATGAATTATGATGGTAAATACTTTTATTATTATTAATTTCACTTAAAATTCATAATATTATGAGTAATATTTTATATTTACTATATCGGCCACTAATCGTAATAACTACAATAACAAATGTAAAAACAACTGTCCTTCTTTTTTTTCTTTTTTTTGACTAGAAAATATTTTTAAGATTTTGGATTTTAAAGGAAATATACAAATTAAAGGTTTAATATTCGATCATTTTTTTAATTTCCAAATTACTCTAAAGTAGTATAATTCAATTAAAGATACATTTATTTGTAGAAATATTATACAAAATAGTATAAATTCTGGCTTAAGAATTTATTAATTTTTGAAAGGTTTAAAATACTTGTATTACAATTCTGAATTACTCTTTGCTTTTCAAATGATGAGATATTCATGGCTGTCATAGGAAACTAATACATTGAAATTAATGAAAAATAAAATCATTTTAAGACTTAATTCGCATACTCTTATTTGCTAGAAATTAAGCTTTTATTTCAAATTTTTTCAAATTTTATTCAATATTTGAAATAATGCAAAGACTACAGAGATTAATTTTTTACCGAGTACTCGGCAGCCATAAAGTACAAAAGGTAAAAGAAATACTTGTTAGTAAATTACAATTATTGCTTATTAGCTTCAAAAATATGAAATTGCTTAAAAATTTTTCTTAATACTTTCCGACATTCTTAGTAATCCATTGAAACTTTTTTTTTTTATTATTTTTTTTTTTTTAAATTATATCTTAATGTATATTATATATTTTTGATTTATTTCCCACAATGCATTTTACTTAAGAATACTGTAAAGCCTTAAAAAAGTACGGCCATTTTAAAATTTTTCATATTTATTTGAATACATTATTTTAAATAATCTTCAATCCCATCTGTTTAAAAGTTTATGTTAACCTTAAAATTATTTCAAAAATTAAGAAACTTTTAAATTCTATTTGTTTTCTAGCATAATCTAAATAAGAATTACATTTAAAATTTTATTTCTATTAGTTTCTTGTAATTTATGAATTGTCTTGTTTTATAGTTTGAACACTCGATTAATAAAATTTCTCGCAAATAAAGAAAATATTATTTAAGATTGATAAATTAAGTACAAATTCAATAATATAATTCAATAAGAATGATTGAATATTATATAAACGTCAGAATTATAAATATTTTGTTTCAGTTAAATTTCCAAAATCCAAGGACTTTGAATATTTACAGTATCACACTAAAGGTATGTCATAAAAGCTTTTGAAACGTATATCGTACAGCGTACATTGCTTAAAGTAAAATATAATTAAAGTAATATATAACATTAGTATTTTAATTCATATTTAGCTCTATCGAACATTGCAATGCAGCTAATGAAAATAGTCTAATTGTCATTTATGCGTGAACTTTAAGCGTAGTCGTGTAAAGTCTTAAAATGAATTTTAATAATTAATATTTATAACAACTTATTTGTATTACTTAAAAAAATAATATCAACTAATGAGCACATGGGTCCTCTCATTCATAACCTTAAAATATTTTATAAACGAATTACATTAATTAACAATATTCTAATTGTTATTTAACGATAGCGATGCGCTAACAATGTATAAAGAATTATCTGTAAATGTTGTTGTATAATATTAATGAAAATGTAATCCATCTAATTGTACATTTATAAACAGACTTAAAGGTTGTATACTCATAAAGATCAACATAATAACTCTATGACATTGAAAAATTAGTCTGCTGTCATATCTCAAAATGAAATGCAATTATCGATTGCGTTTACGTGTATTTTTTAAGAAAAATTGAGTCTAGAATATAAAAGTCGATGTTTGATATTTCAATATCAATTATTTAATATCGTCAATTTTGAAGTAAATATTAGAATGATTGATAATATCTCTGTCGTGGCAGAGTAAAGACATTGAAGCACGATAATATTTGTATTCCGTATAAATTTATTCGAAAGAAATTGTTTCAGAATCTCAATATTTTAATGAATAATCAGTAATTCAAGTATCAGTTTATCATTATTATTATTGACATATCATAATAAATACGTTTTGCAAAAATATATTTTTTTTAAACAATAATTCAGGCTTAGTACGTTAAAGTTTAATGAAAAGTCTTGCAATAAGAAATCAACGGCTTACTGAGGGGACACATTGTTAAATAAATAAGTTTGTTCTATTTGTAAGGTCATTATTAATTGAGATAATGATTTCATCATATCGATTGAGCGTTGATATTATATTTGACAAATGTTTTTTAAACATCTAGGAATGTACGTTTGTAAACCTGGAAAAATACTAGGACAATGCACCGTTATCGAATGATCGAAGACATTAAATTATATATTTGCGTAGAATGAAAAAAAAAAAATTGTTTATCAATAAAGATTTATTTTAATGCTAATGTTTATTTACACATTTATTGTATTTTTAGATTATTTAATGGATCGTCAAGCTGCTTTAAGACGAACAGTAAGCAATGATTATGCTCCGACATTGCCACCGCCACCTCCATTATTCAATATCAAACCAGTATCTTATGATTGGGATAAGCCAACCCATAGCGAATCATTATCAAGAAGTCAATCGATTCGATCATCAGATCACAGGCCAAGGGATTACAAAGTTATTCCGCGTTCTGGAATGGTAAAATTTCACACATATCATCTACATATAGATATGCCCAATGTTAAAAATTAATATGCTAAATCAATGTTAATAATGATTTTTTTCATTTTAGACGAAAATTGAATCATTACCCGTGTATAGAGACGAATGGTCTTTCGGTTCGAAATCACGGTAAAATAACTTTTCAAGTATTTTCAAAACATATTACAAACCAACCATATATCGCTTCGAATTTTATGTTTTTCGCCGAAGGAAACAAAAGTTAACTATCTCTTAATAATATAGTAATGTTAATATAGAAAATAAAATACGTTGATAAAGTTAATATAATTATATTTAAAGTAACGTTCATTTTTAAGAAAATACAGTGTTATGTCTTGCCGAGTTTTTTTATTAAAATCGAGCCTTTATATATATATATATATATATATATATATATATATACATATAAATATTATCAAATTGTTCCGATGATTGTAACTAGTTAAATAAGTTATCCGAAATACTTTTAATTGTAATTAAATAGGGTAGATAAGAGACGGAGAAATAGTTAATTAGTTGTCTTAATTCATTGCTTTATTTAAAATTGTCAACTTTGCGATAAAAATGTTGGCCGTTAATGAAGCCGTTAAGAATTATTAAGTAAATATCGAATGAATATATGAATATACTATGCGAAAAACATAAATTTGAAGATAATATTGCCGTTTCAAGTTACTAAAAATAAAAAAAGTCTGTTATTTTCTGTTTGACGTAGTACAATTATACCGGAGAGCGTTATCGAATCAAAATATTATTCCATGAGAAATCATAGAGAATTAGGGGTAAAGTCTAGGCTGGATGCATTACCTGCAAAGTCGACTCGCACTGTTCCAAGTTCCTCTCGTCCTAAGTCAAGCTCTCAGTCAACCGGATATCGAATTATCGTATCGAATTTACAAGCAAATGTTACTCAAGAAGATATTAAGGTGCTGCTTTATGAAAGTCATAGATTGTATGGTGGTATCTCGATTGTAATGGTGTAACCATGGCTTTCTATGTTGTTTCCCCATAGGAATTGTTTGAAGATGTTGGTGAACTACTTGTCTCGAGATTAGTGAGGCCAGGTGTTGCCGAAGTAATATATAAAACACTGAAGGATGCAACCAAAGCTGTTGAAACCTACCATAATCGACAATTAGACGGGCACCCTATGAAGTGCCTTCTTGTTAATTCACGGCCAAAAACTTCATCTACATCATCGGGCAGAGTACTTTCCCAGTAAGTTTGTAAGTTATAACTGTCAAACGAGCGTTTATATAAAAGAATGAGAATTTTTTAAACTATAGTGCTTTTGAAAAATTACCCTTTGCTCGACACTTGATGACAATTATAATAATTATAAGCACTCGTGCATTATTATCGAATGCGTAATTTAACGACAGTTTATCTGTATTTGACAGGCCAAGAAGTTCAAGCAGTTATGCCCAGCCGAGCTTAGGAACCGTTCATCGTGCATTATTTGACGACTAGTGAATTTATCAATTTCCAGATAAAAAAAAGAAAAAAAAAAAAACCAAAAAAAAAAAACAAACAAACAAACAAACAAAACCTTAAATATTTTACGCCAAAAGACTTGGAATATTTTGAAACTGTGTAATTCCATTTGTATTTAAAGTTGAAGATGCTCTACTGGATTTCTTGAATATTCTTTCGAAACTGCAAAGTCACATTTTGCACGAAACAAATTATTACGGATATTTTAATTTGTAATGAAATTCTATAATAAAGATTCGATTATTGTCGATTAAAAATAAAATATATTTATCCGATATTTAAATAAATCTTAAGTATTTACCCGTTGATATGAATAATAATTGCATAAAATGGTTAAAAACAAAGGATATAATTGCAAACGCATGAGTACACGCATATATATATATATATATATATATATATATATATACATACGTTCATGCGCGCGCGTGTATTTATTTATATTTTTCTTTATTTTTCTGGTAAAGAATTTATTTATTTTTATAGTAAGATAATCACAACATTCTAGTCCATACCTGTAGAATACAAAAACTAAAGTACACATGCACTCTATTGGATGAATTAGGCAAGGACCGATAAATTGACACACGGTCCAACGAGTAATAATCGTCTAAAAGTTAGATATATCTTGATTGTAATTTTTGTATTTAATGGCACATAATTTGAAGTTGCCACCATCCTTTAATGTTAAATGGCGCAATACATGCTCTCTTTGCATTCTCTAAACGACACTTAAAAAATAAACACATCAGGATTTTTTTCAGGTTTCGATTATTAAATATATACGTTTTGACGGACGATTACACCCAATGTGATGATTCTCTCGTCTTACTCTCAGCAAATACATTTTCCAGGATAAAAGATACATTATATACGATAGAAAAGATATCTATATATATAAAAAAAAAAAAAAAAAAAAAAAGAGAGAGAGAGAGAGAGAGAGAGAAAAAAGGAAAAAAAAACATGTCGTCGGTACACCTCTTTGTTTAAATAGTAAAATCCTACGAGAATCGAGAAAACTCACATGCATATTTACAAAAGAAGATTCTAAAATGGCCATGCCACCAATACTGAATCAGATTTACATTGTATTAACGTTTTACGCTCGCGTCAGTTGGGACTGCTTCCGCGCAACAATTGTAACAATTGTACATAGTTCCGCAGAGAGGATTGCAATGTCAAGGGAATAATAATAAGTGGGCGCTGTTAGGTAAAATGGGAGGGAATTGGATTGGATAATTGAAGAAGTAAATTAGTAAATGAAACGCCGCTCGCTCGCTCGCTCGTTTGCTCTTGTTGCGAAAAATCGATCACTGGTGACTCCGGCGCTGACGGAAACCCTGGCCCTTGGACTTGTTTGGCTTGCGGAGCACCTCCGCGTACGACATCTCGAGTCTGCGCAACTTGGCCACCTCCTCCGCGGCGGTGCCCGGCTTGTACGTGGAATCCTGACCACCTGATGGACTCTGATGTTGATGTCGTTGCTGTTGCTGTTGCTGTTGCTGCTGCTGTTGCTGCTGCTGGTGCTGCTGCTGCTGATGATGATGATGATGATGATGATGATGATACTGATGCTGGTAATGCTGCTGCTGTTGCTGCTGCTGCTGCTGCTGCTCTTGTTGGAACTGGAACTGACGGCCGCGCGTCGACGAGTAGAGATGGATCGTCTTACCGTTCCAGGCACCGCCGTCGGATAGTTCGCTGGTGGTCAGCGGCCTGAATCGTCTGCGGCCGCTGCCCTTGAGCTGGACGACCCGTGGATTCGCGGTCGGTATGACGTCGGGCGTAGCCGGTGATACGACCGAGTCGCTCAAACGTCGCGCGACTTTCTTCGCTGAGCCTTTCCTCTTGGCTTGGTAGGCGAGATACTCGAGGGGCTGGTGGCGACGAATCGCTATCCCGTTCTCCGGATCCTTTTTCTTTACTTGGATCGAGAGGTACTCGAGCGGCTGGTGTCGGCGTGTCCCCCCGAGGTGCGCCGCGAACCCGTTCTCCTGGGCTCCGTCGCTAGTCTCGGTCGCCTCGGATTTTCGGCCGAAGAGCGGCGTCTGTATGCGGAAGACCGGCTCCGAGGCGATCGAGGAGACGGCGAGCGAGACGACACTGCCCACGTCGTCCGTAAGCTCGCTCGGGTAATCGTCGGTGCAGGGTGTGAGCTGCTCGGTGTCGGCGGTAGTGGCGGCGGTGGTGGCGACTGCAGCGGCGGCGGTGTCGTAGATGAGCGGCAGCTCCATACCCTCGTCCTTGGCCACAGCGGCGCGCTTCAACACCTCGAATATCTCGCTGAAGAGCTGGCGGTACTCCGGGGTCTTGTGGAAACGACTCTCGAAGGTGCTGCTATCGTCGTAGATACTGAACTTGCAGTCATCGCCGTCGGCGATTGAGCAGAGGAGGGAGCCGAGGCGGCCCTCGGTCTGGGTGGACTTGTTGCTCGTCTCGTCGGAGAAGCCCGATGAGGATGTCTCGGCCTCGGAGAAGTCCGTGGGCGTAGTGGTGAAGGGCTTCTTGGAGGCGTGGCCGCCCTCGTGCTTGCCGAGCTCCGCGGACATTTGCAGCTCCTGTTGGAGGGACATGCAGTCCGCGAGGCCATTGGACTTGCAGCGCGGTCCCGAGCTCTGGTGGACCTTCAGTAAGGCCTCGTACTTTTCGACGAGGACTCGGTATGGATTCGGGCAGTTGTCCTCTTCGGAGAGCTCGGCTTTGACGCTCAGCTCCTGCAAAGCATAACAGTCGATTCATAATTCGCTGTCGATGTGCTTTGTGCTTGGTAAATAAGCTCAAAGTTGCGAGCACTCGACTCGTTAACGATAAACGGCCTTGCAATGTGCTTTTAGCAAATATTATTGGAGTAAGTTTAGTTTGACAAGGTGGTCGCGCCATTGCTCGGTGCCATTGAATAAAATTGATTAACATGCTCGGTGGGGGGTTGATTTGGCGAGGGAGCGAGAAGGGAATTTGGGGATTGGGGTGACGCCAGATTTATAGGATGTTAGATAAAAAAATAAAAATAAATAAACGCTGTTTTGTAAAAAAAAGTGTTTTTATTTAAAATCATATAAATCTGGCACATATATACATTTATGTACATAATGCACTTTGTTGAAGAAAATCCGACTAGATACACTATAATAAGATTCGTGAACATGCAGTGCGATTTTATACGCAATTAATTAAGTAATTAATCGATAAAAAATATATTTCTCCTAGCTTAACATAATTTTGGGCTCTGAATTATTCTAAATTATCATTAATAATAAAGTCCATATAGAGCTTACGGAGCTATTATATAGTTTATAATTAATTATAGTAATATATATGTATATATATATATGTGTGTGTGTGTGTGTGTGTGTGTGTGTGTGTGGGTGTGTGCGCGCGTGCGTGTGTGTATATATATATATATTTATATATATATATATATATATATATAGACATAGGCATAGGCATAGGCATATATATTTATATATAGTCTTAGATTAATTAGTTAGCGATCCTTAAGATTCATCGGTTTTGCCAAAATGACAAAAAGAAATGTTTTTTCTTTATTTTCGTTTTTCTGTTGTTTTGTTTTGTTTTCATTTTGTGAAAAATCATTAATCGACCCTAACAGCTCTGCAGTATCCTATTCTAAACATGATTGATGAAACTAAAATAGCCTATAAAAATAATTAAGCTTAACATATATATATATATATATATATATATATATATATATATATATATATTATATTATATTATATTATATTATATAAAAATACATACACACATAAAAAATTTAATATTATAAATATGACAGATGCTCATTTTGTTTATAAATAATATGTTGTGAGTTGCTTGATGATGTTATTATAATAGCGTTATGGGCAGAGAATTAAATGCAAATTTAATATTAGTATAATGTTGTTATTGTGATACATCAAGCAGCGGTTATGCGCGAGTAAAAATCTTAAACTTCGCGAAGACATGTAAGAGTCGTTTCAATTCTTATATCACTTATTATTCGTAAATTGGTATTTGTTAAATAATTAAGGACATAAGAAGAAGAAGAAGAAGAAGAAGAAGAAGTTGTGAAAGTACTCTCGGTATAATTAATTATCAAGTATTTCAAAAATTTGACCTTGGCAAAACTTTATACTTTCTGAAGAATAATTGCCAAATCGCAAAAGCAAAATATTATATGCCAAAGAATTATAAATGTTTTCATAATTTTTTTGTTTTCCTCCCTCATTAACTCGAGATCGGCCGAGATTTTAAGTTTAAGATTTTTAATTTTAAGCAGTGAATCGATAATGGGTGAGCATATGATATATAAAATAAGTAAACAGCATAAACATTCACTTAAGGAACTATAAAATTTACAAAAATCACAGAGAAAAAAAAAAAAAAAACTGTTTCGGCTCGTGTTCTTATGCATGTCCATGTGTGTTGTAATATACGCTTGACAAGCTTCTCGTATTCGACTTTGTATATGAATATTAAATAACAGTACCGATGGCATTGTGTACAAACATTGTGTTGGAAAGCGCGCAAGGCAACAAAAGTGTATCGTTAATAAACAAATTCTTTAATTTATCGTTCTTAGCACGTATTTGTCGAAAGAGGTGATAGCTTTATGCATAATTCAGCAACGAATGATCCAAAATTCTTCTCCTTCAAATTTTACAATAAAACAGGGTTTCGCCTCGCCTCCACACGAGCGTTTACTCATAACAAATCTAATTTATACTAATTAGCAAGCGGTTAGGCCAGAATATTCGTTTCATGGCTAAAGCTGAATAAAAAAAAGTTTTGGCTAGTGTGGTAGCGGCCTTTGGCATTGTAATAAAATAATTGATAAAGCAATATTTATTGGATATTAAGCATAGAGGAGAAGGTGGATTCCACAATTGACTCAATATCGTCCAGATGATAGAAGTGAAATTCATACGTCGTTTCCTATAAATTGCGATGTTTGTTTCCTAAAGCAAATAAAAAGAATCATTGTTAAAAAGCTCTCATGCGATAACTCTCCAAGCCGCGCGCGGCAGATTCGCGGCAATTTCGACATAATAAAGGAAGTTAAAGGAAGGCGGTAGCTCACGAGTCGAATATTAAAGTATAAGATATCAAAATATCAAAGTATAAGAGGTTAATCAAGTTGAGATGATAATAGGCTAAGTGAAAAGAAAAATAAAATATTGACAACAGGATATAAACAGGATGAGCAAGCTACTATTAGTTTATATTATTAATACTATTAGGTTATATTATTAATGGTTTAGATAATGTAAGGGCCAATGTTTTTTTTGTTTTTTGTTTTATTTATTTCTGCAACAATCAACAACCAACGAGTGGGACGGTTTTTACTAACCGACGGACAGATGTAAAATGGGGTTGGAGGTTGAGGGGGGGGGGCGTGTGTGTGTGTGTGTGTGTGTGGGTGTGGGTGTGGGTGTGGAGGGGAGAAGAAACGCGTGACTTTCGTCAATTCATTTGGAAGCGCGGCTTGAAGAGTTTGCTAAGTGATGAGATAATAAGCGTGCGCAGTGCGTGATAGAATAGAGTCTTTGACAATAGGCCGAAGAAGAGGAGCATGCAGATTGAAAGTAATGGCGAATGACAACGACGACAACAGATGATGAGACAGAAGATGCCATCGAAGGGCCGCCGGCGTCCATTGTTTTTTACCTGGAGAGTCGTTTCGGGGTCGCGCATGCTGCTCGCGAGCGACTCGGCCAAGCTGATGTCGTCGTCCTCCTCTTGGTCCAGCATTAATGATAAATTGTCGTGTATGTTAGTGTTGGTGCTTCGGAGGCAGCGTCCGCACAGGTGGCCGTGTCTAAAATAGTAAAGAAGAAACTCGTCGATAATGCTATAATTGCAATTGCAATTGCAACCTGCGTGAGATTATTTTTATTTTTGTCAGATTACTCAATCTCAACTCACTCAACGCCTCGGTAACGTAACGTAACGTAACGTAACGTAACGTAACGTAACGTAACGTAACGTAACGTAACGCCCAAGGTAAACGCGTTCCATCTCACGAGCTACCTAATCTTCATCATTCCCCGTAATTTTAATTTTCATTCGGAGTTGAGATATGCTAGACTATGGTATTTATCCATAGTAATTGGCATTTTACTCTTATAAGTAAAAAATACGCGTTTTAATGCCTTGTATAATCATTATCTTCTTTTTTTTTTTTCTTCATATCGAACTTCAAACGGCAAATTAATAATTATAATTAATGACTTTGATTGTACTTCAGATGGGCAAATACAATTCTTGTTAAATACGGTTGGACTGTCATATTTTATTTAGGAATAGGTAGACAGCCTCATTATGTAAATAAAATGAAATTGATTTTTGGCGTTTAGGTATAGGCGACAATGATTATATACAATCGACACGCGCAGACTTACTTAACAACAAACTTTATCTTAAAAATAATAATAAAAAATTTATTATTATTCATCTATGTAGACGATGATATAAGCTAAATCAATATATTTGTTCAAGATGGAGAAACGCGGGAGTATTGAAAGGGCCCGTTCACTCGAATCGCGATAGCTTCTATCCCGGCTAGTCAATTATACATTTATCATTTAATCTGAAAATTGTACTCCTGGGCTCGCGTGCCATGCACATAAAATGAAAATTAATTAGTAAAAGGCTGGTATGGTTATCGAGTAGGTAAATATGATGTATAAAATGAAGCTATGAAAGAAAAAAAAAAAAAAGAAAAAAAGAAAGAGTCAGCGGAGAGTGGAAAGTTAATTATTCGACGGAAGCAATAAAACATCTCGTGTTTTGTACAAACACGATTGGCTAGCTAATGTAATTTTACATTGAATTTCCTTTTAATTATATTTATGATTTTAGGGATAATGTAATTTTTGGAATTGCTAATAAGGCAAAATTGAAAAAATCAGTAGCACCACGAGTCCAGTTAATTATTACGACAGTCAATAGGGTCAAATTGACCGATCGAAATATCGAATAATCAAATTACTCAACATGGTAATTCGAATATCACGGATTCAGGTGGGGAAGATGGATGTACGTAAAGGCTGTCAAGAGGATAGATAATGTGCATTAACCGGAGCAACAACACCCTTTCTCCACTTGTTACGACTTGTTGTCTCTACATTTCCACGTATTTATTAATTAGGCCAATCGAATAGTCGCTTATCCTCTTTCCCAAAAACTGCCGACATTATCATAATTGTTAAATCTAATAATCTAATAATCCTTAATATTAAACTATAATAACTTAATTTCGCTAATTTTCATAAACGACAGGCTGGTATTTAAGCCTCGCCTGACTCGCATTAATTATCATTAAAAATATGGGATATGGGATATTTTAAGAATTCGCGATTGGGCGATTGGGCGACTGGGATCGCTCGATTCGTCTCGTCGATGCTTAGGGACGAGGTGCCGGACGATCTAAAAGAAGAAGTAAAAGCAGCATCAACATACCGGACTTCCTCGAGCGTGTTTATCTCATCCTGCAGATTTTTCATGACCTGCGCCTTAGCCTTCCAGTCGTTCAGCTGCTCATCCAGTTGGGCATTTTCCTGCAAAAGTGCGTCCCGCTGTTCTTCCAGCTCGCCAATCTTCTTCTGCTGGAGCTTACATTGAAAGCGCGACTCCTGCAGCTGCTGCTGAAGCTTCGTCAAGTCCTCGGCGCTGCTCATCGCCATGACGAGCTGCTGAATCGTCGCATCACCCTCGGGGCCGACCGTCTTCTTCGACGACACAGCCATCTAGCAAATAATAACACGTCCTTGCATTACAAAAACACTATCCATTACCTTACGGGCAAACTAGCGGTGGCTACATTATCTTTGTTTATTATTTATTGTTTTTTTGTTTTTTTTTTTTTGTTTTTTTTTTTTTTTTTTTTTTTTTTTGTTTTTTTTTTTTTTGTCTTGGCGATATGCAAACGTGTCAATTGTGTAGCTATCGGGGAATGGATCGAAATGGATTTGAAGAAAACAAAAATATAATAAATAAATCAATAAAATTAAAATGAAACAATGAACAAAAGACGATGGAATATTAATAAACAACGAGCAGATAAAGATAGAAAAAAAGAAAAAAAAAAAAGAAAAAGAAAAAGAAAAAAAACAAGCAAACAAACAAACGCAAGTAAATTCAAACAAGAGTTCTGACATGCGATTTCGGCCAACTGGTTGCCAATTTTCCAGCAAAATCGTCAATTTCATAAAGTCCGAACTTTCGTTTTTTTCTTCTTGCTAATCATCATTACATCATTGCCCCGCCCATGATTACAAGGCAGCCATCAATTAAACATCGATTGTACCAAACCCAATGGATTTATTTATTATTTGCATCGTCACCCGTAAATGTATATCGCAATGACACTTGTGGGATTCGTGCGATCGACTCACATGGTGTGTGCTGCCATCTCGCGAAGGTGCGGTTTTGCTGGGTGCCGGTGCGCCCGACGATTGATCCTTTATTTGTTGCTTGCGAAGTAGTCCTTCGTTCTCTCCTTTCAGCTCGTCGAATTTCTTCTGGAGCTCGTCGAAGCGAGCCTCGAGCGTATCGATCGTTAAGCATTGACTGTGAAGAAACAAATTTATCGCTTTTAGGTGTTAGGGCCACGCACCTCGGAGCTTAATACCGAGCTTTCCCAACTAACCCCTCACTCGCCCCTCTTAATTAATAAAATTAAAATATCTACCTCTTTATTTGCTTCTTATCGTTGGTATTCTCGAATGCAAGCTTCTGATTAGCTCTCTCAAGATCTTGAATGCTGACTTCCAACTGCTCGTAGATCTTCAGTCGCGAGTCATTTACTTCCCTTAAAGCCGCAGTCTGTTTTTTCATGTACTGATTTATGGAAATATTAAATTGTTATTATTCTCTTGGAATTTCACACGCGATACTTTCTATCGTTCCTTATTTCTGTCACAATGACGATAATTAGAAAGGCTGAGGTACCTGTGCTATTGAGCCCTACGTTACAAACGACAACGACCAAGAACTAAACATTTAGGCAGCGACTCCGACAATAAGGACAACTTACGTTATTCCTTGCGTTAAATTAAAACGAGGATTTTGCTCATTCAACGCGGCAATTTTTGAACGAACGGATGATTATCGATCGTCGTTACATAATGACGCGTCATTGCCAAAGGAAAGCTATGCTCCGCACGACCTCGGCCAATCATACAAAGGACAAAAAAAAAATCCCAATATTCAAATTGTATCCTGCCCATATCTCACCTCTATCTCCTGCCTTTGATCGTCGATCGTGCATTGATGCAGCTTTATGCAATTCTCCAGCTCTTTGTTGCGCTCTAGCAGCGTCTTACCAAGTTCCGCTGCCAACTGAAGATCTGCGAACAAAGCGAAACATTTGTATATATTACAAGCTTTTCAACATTTTTTTTTTTCTTTTTTAACCTATCGCCCATTCGCCAACACTGCTCTTATCGAAGCCAAAGAGACTCGCTGATTAGTTCTGAGTGTCAGGTCATTCGATACTCGCGTAATAAGAATTTCTCCCACATTCTGTTGAGACCTTGCCACATTCAGCTAAATTTCACGACAGCGGGGCTCGGATTTTTCCATATGCAATTGTCACGTGATACGCGAGTCGTGGAAGTAAAATGGAAGTAAAAGATCAAGAAAACCAAGAATCAAGAACCAAGCTCAATCGGGTCGAATAGCAACGGGGACAAGGATAATAAACATACTACTCATCCCTCAAAATCTCATCAAGCCGATTTCTCCCTCGAACCTTATAATTATTCAATACCCCGACAGGTTTTACTCATTCATTTATTTAACGGAACGAATTTTCGAATTTTGTTCCATAATGACGAGTGTCTTATATTATTTTGTTCTCGAAACGAATTCTAGATTTGTAAGGGGTAAGGTTTACAACGCACCACGTTCGAACAATTTTTTTTGTGTTCACTAACGTTAATAATTAAGAACAAGATAACTCCGTTAATTTGTTAATTTGTTAATGAACAATTCGTTCAAGGAAATTCGAGGGTAGTTTTTTTTCTTTTTTTTCTTCTTTTTTTCTTTTTTTTTTCTTTTTTTCTTTTTCTTTTTTTTTCTTTTAATAACTATTTTGATTTGGCTCGATGGTACTTTTTAAATATAAATATTTCTCATGAGCATTCGTATTCGCGTCGACATTGGTGCAACGAAAAGAGGATGGAAAGAGGTGGTGGCAATTTGGTTGTGCGATAGGATCGGCCGTGCTCATCGTCCTCGTTAATCCGGAGCGTGTGAGAGAGGAGGATCGGATAGAGAGAGAGAGAGAGAGAGAGAGAGTGAGAGCGGCGGCGCGTGATAAAGCTCAGGGCTCGGTTCGTCGAGTTTCGCGCGGGAGAATCGGTTAGTCGAGGGACCCGGAGCACGTGCGCGGTCGCCGATCAAAGCGCCGGTGCTCACTGGATGCGTGAGGGTAGCAGATGGAGGGGAACAAGACGCGACTACGGCCGTGAAGGGGGAAGGGGGAGAGGAGACGTTGCGCCGGAGGAATGC